AAATGTCCACTCTAGTAACTGCATTAAATTTTATCCTTATCAACGTGCCTCTACATACCACTCAAACTTTGGCAACATTCTTTCTGAGATGATGTACAAAATGTAGAAAGTAGACAAACCTCTTGAGGATAGCTCAAATCATAAACCAATTTTCTTATTGTGCCTTCATATGCAAGGACTCAAACGTCTCAGGCTTATATTGAGCTAAGGTGTAATCCATATCAAATCCAACAGCAACAATATTCCTCATATTCAATGATCTGTTGCAGAAAATCTGTTTTCCTATATCAATTTTACATCCTCCTTCAAGAGATGACCATACATTTGGTTTCTCACCACCATGAGATTGTAATGCTTTATCACCTAACATGGCCCCATCATCATAGTCCATTAAGTAGCGAGAATCTGACTGATTATCCCCTAAATGGATTAGCAGGGAGAACCAGATTAGCATTAATGGTAATAACAGAGTCCATTGCATAAATGTAGTAGCCCTCATGTTCAAATGGAATGAATATTACTCAAAGTGCTATAAGTAGAATGAACAATGATCCGCTTTCTGTTTGATCATTATTTCAGATAATTAGCAATGAAGATAACAAGTTGAATAACAAAAAACAATCAGATATTCACGAATCAAAACTCATGACATCGCACCATAAGATTTTCGCGAGAATGCAAGTTTTAGAGCGTAGAAACGAACCAGGTGATTTATATTAACTTGTACCACACGTCACCAATCATTATTCAAAACAAATTATTATAAACCCTGGTAACTGGAACTTGAGGTTTTTTCCTTCTAAAAACTCAATTTATTAATTAAATTAGCTATGAAAGGCATATACTAGTTCGAAACCATAAGAGAGGGAGGCTACTGACTAGTAAGAGTAAACAGTGAGATTTTTCTGTAGTATTTAGACAGAAACTTGAAACCTTACCTCAGAAGCCAAATCAAAAGATCACGTAGTATGCACCACGTTGAGTTCCGAGCCTAAGAATCTTCGAAAATATGTTCCAATTAACACCGAAAACGCGAATTTATCAATCAAAACTAACAAAAGTTCAACGGAATAAAAACTCCCACGAAACAAACAGTTCCCTCAATCTCAACCACAACAAACCCCAAAATGCAAATGCTAAATGCAACAAGCAAATAAAAAAAATAGTGAAAGAATAGCTAGTAACCTGCGGCAAGGATAGCTTTTAATCTTGGCCGGAAGTTCGGAGGAGAAGCGATGAAACCGGGAAGAAAATGGAGCTGGAAAGTCAGTGGAGAAGAAGGAGCGCCAGAAGGCAACTGGTATTTTGGGAATTCGCGTGGTGGAATTAAATATACATCTTGAGAACCAAGAGAAAGAGCGAAGAATTCAAGTGGGACTGATAAAAGCAGCGAATCTAATTCCAATGCTTTAAAAGGAAAACAAAGGAAATGTGCGGTGACAAGTTAACAAACGAGGCTGCAACTGAAACGAAACAATTAAATTGAGATAATTCCTTTGTTTGGTTCGGAAAATGAAAAAGAAAGAAAAAATTATTTACTCTAGTACGCAATCTGAAATGAGAACTGGATTGTACATTCCATGTTGCTAAACGGAATATGGCAACCGAGGGAGGAAACGGAGGCGACTGGAGAGAGAAGTAAGTTCTTATGATCTCAAATCTCAGCTTTCACTCCACCCCGAAAAAAAATAAACGCTGTAGGAAAACAATCTGTTTGTTTTTTTCTTTCTTTTTTTCTCAAGGATGTATGAAAACAATCGAACAAACAAGATGGAGGGACACGTGCCATCACTAAGGAAAAGGGCAGTTATATAATGTCTTTATGGTGAATTTTGGATTTCTTTTCCTTTTTCAAAACTAATGGCGGCGAAAACTTAGTTTTATAGTTAATGATCTAATTTATTATTATTGAAATATAATTATATAATAATTCAATTAATTTTAAATTCATAAGAACGAACAAGTACTTAAAACATTGATAATTTAATATATCAACATTTAAAATTCATAAGTGTAACATGCTGTGGATCGTAAGTCTTTTGCTCTTGTTGTTATTGATAGTGTTTTTTTTTAATCTGCAAACTACTTGCCCTTCCTCTATAATGTTGATCTTTCTACAGTTCTACCACATCCAACAGTGAGGATTATACATGTAGATAGCGTTTGATTCGCTGGAATGTTTATGAAAGAATTGAAATCTGTGAAGGAATTGGAATCTGTCAGGAATTTGAATCCAATTCTATATTCTGTTTGGTTGGCAGGAAATTGAATTGGAATCCAATTCTATATTCTGTTTGATTCGCATACATGTCAGATGAATTTGATTTCAGTAATGTAAAATGAAAGGATTGTATTTCTTGTTTTTTTTGCTTAATTTTAATTTGTTTTATGAATTACATGTGGCAATATATTATAAAAAATTTAAAAAATTAATTTTAATTTTATTGATTGATTATTCATTTTAATAAATTATAAAAATCATGCTAATAAACATCATAAGTTAAAATCATCCCAATTAGAGATGATCATGGGTCGAGTTGGGTCGGGTTTTTGGTCCACCCGACCCGACCCAAGAACAAGGTAACCTCCATCCGAGACCCGACCCGACCAAAATAAAATTTCACCCGACCCGACCCGAATATATGAATTAGAAACCCGACCCGACCCGAAATAATAAAAAAAATATTTTTATTTAATAAAAACAGTGACTTAATTGGAAAAAATATAGAGAGAGAGGGGTATTATTGTAATTATTCTTAAATATATAAGGTAAAATTATATATTTTTTTTGGTCGGGTCGGGTATTTTTCACCCTAAACCCAAACCCGACCCGACCCGAATATCACACTTAAAAAAACCGACCCGACCCGACCAAAATAAATTTTCACTCAACCCGACCCGAATATATGAATTAGAAATCCGACCCAACCCGAAATAATAAAAAAATTATTTTTATTCAATAAAAAATGACTTAATTGAGAAAAAAATTATATATAAAGGGGTATTATTGTAATTATTCTTAAATATATAAGGTAAAATTATATATATTCGGGTCGGGTATTTTTCACCCTAAACCCGAACTCGACTCGACTCGAATATCACACTTAAAAAAACCGACCCGACCCGACCAAAATAAAGTTTCACCCGACCCGACCCAAATATATGAATTAGAAACCCGACCCGACCTGAAATAATAAAAAAATATTTTTATTCAATATATAAATAAATTACCAAAAAATTGATGAGGATATTATGGTCAAATTTCAATTCCCTCCAACAAGATAATTGAATTCCATCGTAGAATGGATGAAATTCACTTTCCCTCATTTGATGGAAAGTTGAAGCCATAAGGGTTTCCAATTCCATTGGAAAACTTGAACCAAACATAAAAAAGTTATGAAATTGAATTCCAATTCCCCCTAATTCCAAGAAATTCATGCCAATCAAACGCCACCATATAATTTTCTGCCCGTACCTTTATTACTACATTGTCTGAGAACAATTGACTTCAGACGTTTTACCTGTAGAGCTCATGTAAGTGGCTCGGTTATGTGTTTTTAGTACAAATGAGGATAGAGTTACAAATGCAAATTTTCGAAATCTCTAAGTTAATAAACATTACATTTATAGCTATATGAATCAATTGAAAAAAATTTCAAGCTCAAAATCCGATTCTTAAATCTGATTCCAACAATAGGGAGTGCTATTAGTTGAAAATGGAAAGCATATTTAAAAGCTAAGTGCAAAGACTTGGATAGTTTTAAGCAGCGTAATAATTAACCTAAGCACGAGACTTTAAGATGTGGGTCATGTTCCTACTGGGAAATGTCCTCATCGTTCATGTTAATGTTCTTTCGTCTGACTTCCTCGTATTTTTATTACCCTCTGTAATCTTAAATGATGGCTAACTTGTCATTTTCAAATTACCTTTTTTCTGGTAAAAGACGATTGCAGATTACTTTATTATTCTTTCCATATGTTTCTGTTGTTGAGATGTTATCAATAACCAGATTGACTAATACGGCCCTGGAAATGTTAAATCAAACATTCATTGGATGACAGCAAGAGCTGTGTTGGAGCCCAACATTTCGATGTTCGGCTCAGCTTCTGGCTTTTGCACGTGCTCTTGCAGTCTAAAATTTGAGTCTCCCAAATGCTTCAAAGAAGATTAAAAGCAATATTTACAAATTGAATTGCTAGCCAGACTTGAATCTTTATTCTTGCATTAATGGATCTCAACCAACTGAACTAATATATTTGGCGCCAAAAAGTATTTTAAGCATTAAATCTCTACTTCGAGAAACAATCACAATCTTCTGTTGGTTACCCCTAACATATGCTGTTGATATTAGAATGAATTGGCGAGAGATTCTGTTCAGTGGGCAACTTCAATCAAACACTGGCTTTGCTGAGATTTTCCGATGGGAACTATTTAACAAAACAACTAGACAAAAGCTATGCAGAGTACAGATAAGGAGGGTCCTACAGGCAAAGCGCGCGCGTCTGGGTGTGGCAAGTGGCAAAAACTCTTCACTTCTCGTTGTTGCTGCTGCTTTTTCCTGCTATAACTAGACTAGTGTTTTGACTTTTGTCTATCAGCTGAGTCTCGAATTAAAACTAACCCCACGCGCCACTATATCAACTCGGTAAACACTTGCCACTAAAGTTCTCATTATTAATGCAGTAGCTGCTAGCTAACCTTTCTTTCCCGAGTAATCAAGTTCTTATTCGTTTGCTTAGCATTATAAACATGGCAAAGGAGAAAAGATAAACTCAACTAAACTAGTAATATTAATAATAAAAATAAAAATGGAGTAGTTTAACAAGAAAAATATGTATGTTAATAGTTGAAACAACTTTAATCTGATTTAATTCATATAATGGTAGAATAAGAATAAAAACTATCTTTGCTACTTTCAATCCTTGTTTGTTTATACCGGAAAATATATGGAATAAAGAAGATGGTTAAGAAAGGCCAGTTACTGCATGTCTGCAATCAAGAAAAGAAAAAAAATAAAAGCAAGGCCTTTTGCATAGTGCTGTTCTGTGTCCACATTTGGAACAGGTGAATAGAGCAATAAATTTGATGAAACCAAGAAGCTTTCAACATGAAACCTGGAAATTTCATCTTCATCCTACTCAAACATGAAAAGCTAAATCATTTTAATATTCCTTTATTGGAGCTACCATACAAGTGTGTAGTAAACAAGAAAAAATGGATTTACCAGACTTCATTAAGGCAAACTGAAGCAATTTTAGCTGCTCTTTCTGGGTTTGCTTTTTCTTCTTGTTCTCTTTGTTGGAGGCTCCTTTGGTGATACTGCTTGTCCCTCTCCTTTCTTCATCGAAGCTGATGATGCCTCTGCCTTTGCCTGTGGATTTTGCTCTTGTTGCGGCTCTTCTTCATCATCTCTCTGTTGTTCCTCGGTAGTTTTTAGTTTCTTTGATCGACTCTCGGTAACTTCAGCTGCTTCCTCTTCTTCACTTTCGGTTCTCTCAACAATCTTCCGTGGTCTGCCTCTCTTTCTAGGAGTCTGAAGCTGAGATTGTTGTTTTGCTTCTTCTCCTGCTGATGAAGCCTCAGCTATTGCTACTGAAAGTTGCTTGGTTTTTTGAGGCTTCTTCTTCTTACCCATCAAATCGTTCCTTATCAATAAGCTTTCATTCAAAATCAAATCTCCAATGGATTCTTTTAAATTACTATCCTTTTTAATGTTGACGCTTCTGTTTATTGGATCCAAAAGAATTCATTCAAAATATGCTCCTTGGTATGCATTTTTTATACAACACCCTAAAGCAACTGGACCAATATCAAGATTCTGGAAACCCCATTAATACAATCTCTTCCTTTTTCGTTTATTTTCCTCTATTTCTCTATTATTCCATATACAATATATCTACAACTAAATACCAATATCAATAGTAATTGCTTCTACTTGCAAAGAATAAACAAAGGCCATAAAGCCATTAAAATTACTTTTCTTTTATCTGTCAACCCTATCCATTCATTCCTCTGTGTGTATATATAAATATACACACACTATTCTTTTGCAGATAAAGAAAAGACAAGTTTTTCTTTTATTTCGTTGAATATAAAGAAGTCCAAAATCTAAGATAGACTTAATATAAAATAAAGTTTTCAAATTATATTATTTTTCGTTTAAATTATTTTTTTATCAATTTAAATGTGTAATGTTACAAATGTTATTATTTTAAGTACCGGCGTTAAAAAATTTCGTTAAGCGTCATGTTATTGTAGTTTAAAAAATATTTAAAATAAAAGATTAAAATATAATTTCTTTTCAGAAAAATCTAAAATTTTCTAAAATCTTAAATTAAAATTTTGAAAACTTTTATTTCAATCCTTATATGCACCCGACCATCGCTGTCGATCGAATCTCCACAACGACACAACCACCATCACTATCCTTTGAAATCATTCCAATCGCCATCACCAAATATTTAGTTTAGATCAAATGTGATAATAAACTAGTTTATTCTTATTGTGAATCTTCAAAAAATAGAAAACAAAAAATACATTGATGACTCAAGCCCATGACCAAAGTAAAATTAAGTAAATATTATGTTGAATATAGCAGCTTTGAGTGTCAGTTACGCTTGTACACGTGTCAGAGGATGATTGCTCTAGGTGGTCATCTAGGAAACAGAAGTCTATTTCACATTCAACCATGAAGGTTGAGTACAAAAGTCTTGCCGATGCTACTGTGAAAGTAATATGGATCAGTGCCTTGCTTACAGATATGGGTGAAGTTCAGGCTATACCTCCTACCATATGGTATGACAATTCTGGAGCTATTACAATGAGCATTAATCCAGTTTATCATGCTCAGTTCAAACATGTTGATCTGGATGTGTATTTCGTTCGTGATAAAATTATCGTTAAACAACTATAGGTGCGATATGTGTCGGCATTTTATCAAATCCCGGATGATTTTATAAAACCTTGGCTTGAGGTGCTTTTAAATTTTTTCGCGACCGAATGAATGTTCAATTTATTGACCACGAAGAGAAAAGGTAGAGGGAATGTTGAATATAATAGTATTGAGTGTCAATTACACTTATATACGTGTCAGAGGATGATTGCTCTAGGTGGTTAGGCTGATGTAAGCTGTTTGGTTGTTAGGCTGTTAAAGAAACTGCATAGGGTTTAGAGTGCTATATATAACACATATTCCAACAAGCTTGATTTTCAACGTATTTCAACATATATCAGTTACCAACAGGCTGCTGGGTTTATAGTTTATGTTCTGATGGTCAATAAGCAACAGGCAGCCTTGTCTCTGATTGCCAATTGGATGAATCATTATACAGAGAATTTTATGCCTTCATCATTAGCTGAAGTTCCCTAAAAAATTGCAAGCTGGCAGGACGGGGTTGAGGGGAGGGATTTTCCTTCTAAAAACATTTTTTTAATTTTTTTTAAATAAATCTTCAAAATTATCAAAATACACACATATCATTTAGCAAAAACTTTTAACAGCCGTTACGGTCGGAGCATTTAACGTTTATAACGTTAGTTAGGTATTTTGATTTACCAAAAAATAATCTAGACACCTAAAATAAAAAATGTATAATTTGACCATTTATTTTTATATTAAGTCACTCAGCAAATAAAGGAAAAATAAATAAGTACGTCTGATATGGAACAATACAAAATATATAATACTAATTGGATAAATATTAGGGTAAATTACATATTTAGTATCTAAACTATTAATTTTGTTCTATTTTGGTATCTAAATTTTATATTTTTAAAATCATATATAACATTTAGTTTAAGTTTCAATTTAATACATTGTCGTTAAAAAATTAACAGAACTGTTGACGTGATATTTTTTTCCAATGATGACATGGTATTACCTTATGGTGGCACGTCAACATTTCTGTAACTCCCTAAACCCGACCTAAACGTTACGACCAAATCTAGAATGTTAAGTTGATCACCAAAGTGATCCATAAATTAATTCAAAATTTTTAATAAAGTGGATTCAGTTTTTTCAAATAATTTATACAATTATTATCATTTCATAAAAAATTAAAAAATGTAATTTAAATCTAAGACTATGATCCTCGAGATGTTGAATCGATTCTAACATCTTGAAATATCTAAAAAGGAGAAATAAAGGGTCTGAGCTATAGAGCTCAGTGCGGTCAAAACGTGCAAATAAACAAAGTAATTAGAAAAAAAAAACAATCATAATCACAGTTTGAGTCATAATATTCATGGTACGAACAAATATGCAAATGTAATGCAACCATACACCGTACACCGTCCGAAGAGTAAGTTCTCCATAACCACTCTCTACAACACACCATCCGAAGTGAAGTCCGTCACAAAGGCAGATGTCACTGAATCCAAAGAGAAATTCACCCCATCGAGTGAATATACTGAACTTCCCCTATCAATCCCAACCCCATGTGTTATGGCATCAAACTATACATATTCGAATTTTGATCCGATCCAAATGTAATAACATTTACATAAATTTCAAAATCCAAATACATAACATAAATTTCGAAGCCGATATGTAACATGCATCACATAATATATTTATTCAAATTAAATTTAATACTATATTATAAAAAAATCATGCTTCAATACAATTTTCAATCAATCAAACAATTGTGATAGAATAAATTTAGCATTAGATATAGACACATATAAATTCAGATACATCACCACGACATCAATCAGAATTTGTTTATTTCAGATTCAACAAAAAAACTGTTAAACATAATTAAAACAGTTGTAGCACGGTAAGACATGCACCTTAGATCGTATAGAGATAAAGATACTAATGAGCAAAGACTCTTGTGGTTGAAATCTTGAGTTGAAGGTTTAGTGGAGAGATGACATACGATCTTAGAAAAGCTAACCAAATTAATAGTAATTGAATTTAAAACGAAATAATAAGAAAAAATATGAATTTATTCTCTATTTATTTCATGACAATATATAGGGTTTAGGGAAAAATACTTTATAAATTAATAAGATCAAATTCAATTAAAATATAGATAGAGATAGAAATACTATTTAAAAATCAACTCCAAAATAAATAGTTTAGAGAATATATTTTAAAATTAAAATAAATAAATAATATAATAGATAGTATAAAATAAACAATTTAAGATAATAAGATAATATTTATGAGATAATAAAGAAAAGAACCTGAAATAAAACAAACTTAGGAATTACACTATAAACAAAATTCTAAAACCGAAAAATTTGAGGAAAATTGATTACTAAAAATAAGTTGATAAAACTACAAGATAAGTCAATATCTTTAAAATTAGCATTTATTCAATTTAGTCCAAAACTAAATAATTGAAGCCAATAAATTTTTTAATTTATCGAGAATAAAATATTAACCTAGATTTTTGGGGTTGACAATATTTGTTAAAAATTTAACACTGAGGTATCAAAATGAAACCTAAACTAAAAGTTAGATATATTTAAAAAAAATAAAGTTTAGGTATCGGAATAGAATAAAAGCAATAGTTTATGTACTAAAAGTATAGTTTACCCTAAATATAAAAATTAGCACTACCTTTGTGCCATTAAATTGTCCTTTTTGGATTTTAAAATTATCTTATTCAATGTCTTATTAGAAAAGTTAACAAAGAAATACACTTATATTTATTTTTTTATCTTTATTTGTCTCATTATTTTACACCTATAAAAATAAATCTTATCAAATCTACCAATATTTTTTAAGAATAATCCTGTTATTTTCAAAATTATCTCTAAAGTTACGTGCTTAGTCAAAATGGGATAAAAATGGTGGAACAGAGTATCAATTTGTTAACAGGTGTGGCCAAGATAACCATGGTTAAATTTGTACTGGTTTTAAACCAGTGTGTTGTTGTTTTGACTTTACCCTGGTGATTGGTGGAAGAGTTTGATGTGTACTGTACGTACTATATGACTCACAAGTCAGAAACCGGACACTGTCTCAGAGTCTGTACACTTGTGTCGCTACACGGCCAATCCTTGTGGCTCAGTAAATTGAGGGACACAGTTAATATATGTCTATTACGATTCTCCAAATCATCAAATATCATCACCTTACAGGGTCAGATTTCCTGCTGTATAAATATACACTATGTTTGTTTGACATCCAACAGAAACACACTCAATACTGGATCAAATGGATTACAACACAACAAATATTAGAGTTAGTATTCATCGTGAATAAACAGGTTCTACAGTCACTTGGTTGAGGCCGTGACTCCAAGAATAGTCTTATAGTCGAGTGGATTAGAGACGGTTCAGCCATGGAGCCATTCCCATAGTTACCACAAGCTAGTAGCTTCGAGACAGGTGGGATGAGAGAAATCCCAAGCTCATCAATTGTGATGAGATGTTTTTCCGTGAAAGGGTTGCTCCACATTAAAGTGTTCATTTCTGGGGCGACAAACATTGGCTTGCTATAGTCCCATGCTCGTACAACACAAGTTAGCAAATTGTCACATAATCCACCAGCAATCTGCAATAGCAGATACTAATGATGAAAAGGAAAATGCTCAAGAGAAGAAGCAATGTGATTGTTTAAGCAACAAACCAGGTTCACAAAATGGGAATATCAGAAGCATACGACAGCAGAAGAAACTGATTTTCAGATACATGAATGCTTAGCACAATTGTAAACTCGTGATCAACCAAAAATATAATTGACCTAAAGCATCAAAATGGTACTTGGATATTTTTACAGCTATATAAAGCACACCCTAATCACTGAAATTCGGAGACTTTCTCGCATTCTCCCAACCGTCTCCAATGCTCTTTTCATTGACATGAACATAATATGTTTAGCGTCCACAGTTAATACAAGGTACAACATACAGGAACAAAAAATATAGCAAAACTTGGCCAAATAATGTTACCTTGCCAAACGTGTTTGCTGACAATGGGGCAATGACCATAATATCAGCCCATCGACGGAGCTCGATGTGAAGAACACTGTCACCTATTTTTCCCAAGTAGACCATTCCTCCTCGTCAGTGTAAAGCTTAAGATCTTTGGGAAGTGATGTTCTGTCAATGAAATGCAAAGAAGCTTTCGTGGCAACTGCTTTAACTTCTGCACATTCTGAGAAACAATGGTAGAGATTCCCAAACTTTATGGCAGCTACACTTCCACTGGCAGCGAGTAAAATCCTGGGCTTTCTTGGGGTAGGATAAGCCTGAACTCTCTCTCTCTCTGCACCTTGAGGCCCAGGGTATGCCATAACCTAGGCAAATCCAAGCAAGAATAACCTTGATTACACCTTTCAAAATCAATTATCAGTCTTCTTTTTACATTCAACTCCCAGTTAACTACAATCCCAGAAAAAAAAAGGAAGTACAAGGCCAAAATGCATCCCCGAGAAGAAACTAACGACCCGCTGCTCAGAATTTAAACTTGCATTTCCTTGATTTGAAACTCAAAACCCACTTCAAAATTTTATGATATAGATCAATTAGGGTAGAGAAAACTCGAGATAAAATACAAAGTAAGCAGGATTACGAGAGTTGTACTTTCGCTTTGCGTAGAAAAAGATGCTAACCTGGAATCTAAGATTAGAGAAGAATCTGGGATTTGGTGTTCAGATGTTCTTGCAACTTCCACAGTCGTTTGAAAGGCAAAGAAGCGCGAAAGTGTAGCTTTCGAAAGAGCCCCTGTCGGAAAACAATTGTTGCCTTTTGATGATCTGTTTCCTCTTCTACTTTTTCTTACAGACAAATACTGGGATTTCCTTGGTTGCTCCGCGCCTCTTTTCCTTTCAAAGACAATGGGCATTTGGTTTTGGTCTCTTGGTTCCAAGAGTTGGGCTTCTCTAGGTTTTTTATGTTAAAAGGCTTGTTTTTTGAAGTCCTAAGTACTGAGGCCCAATGAGTCTGAGGATGCTACTTCTCTAACATTCAAATTCTGATGACGATTTCATGGCATAACAGGCAACGACCACGTTGACATAGCTGCTGATTACTCCTCAGACGGCCTGCAAGGCGGGCCGGGGCATAGCAGGCCATCCCTTTCAAACGCCACCAGCCTCATAAATAGCAAAAATCTGGTGCTGCTAATCGGATAAGGTCATCGATATCAGACTCATTATGATGCATATGTAGCGCAGGTCAGAGGTAGCCCATCTCTATCAATGTTTCCAACAACTAATCTCTTTAATTTTAAGATGTATTTGGGACAACCCATTTTGATGTTCTGTGTAGCCGTAATAGTAATTCAAGGCTAGAAGTGTCTTGTAGTTTTGGAGTATTTTTATTTGGGAAACCAAAAGCTTTGATCTTAGAGATTGAAAGCGATTTGTGGGGTCATTAGCTGGAAGCTAGAAAAGTAGGGTCTATTTCGAATAATAGAAGACAAGTAATATAGTAGTGCAATTTTCGAATTTTTGTGGATGGAAATTTTTCCTGGTAGATTATTTTCGTCTAACGGAAACTCCTTTTGACGCTTGTGGTGCTCTGTATTCCTAAAGAAGCTAATATTTTAATAATTTTGACTAGTTGTGTGACGTGTGTTTTTAATATTTACGTAAGTGCCAAGCTAGTTTTTAGTCTTAAGAGCCCCTTTTCCCCCCATTTTTTTCTTCTCTCTTGGAAGAAGAAGATGATTGAAGACTCAATAATTTCTTCAATTAGATCCTCTTGTTTTGCTTTCATTCCAAACCTGTTGATAAGAGAAAGCTGATTCCTGCTTTGCTTATCTGTAGGACCCCTGGGGAAGCTGCTGGTGGGTACTTCCTTTTCAATTTCCAAATGATGAATATTCTTTACAAGTTGATAGTTGTTTTAAATTTCAACTTGTCTGTCTTAGTTCTTTTGTTGTTTTATGGGAAATTCAGATAAGTTCTTAGGAATTCATTTCCTTTTTGCTTTTTATCACTTTATGGTTATTCAACAATTAATTGGGTGTTTTTCAAAGGGCAAAAATTAGTCTTTTCCATGATCTCTATTTGGGGATGATCATATAGTAAAGTGGGAAACGTATCTTCTTTCTATGGTGTGGAGATAATACTGTTTGACTGCATATATTTTTTCTGAATTTGCTCATATATTTTTTGTTCTTGTACCCCCTCCCTCTCTCTTGATTTCCTCCTAGCTGATTCGGATGACTTATTACTTGTGTTCATCTGACTGGCATTACTCTCCTAATATTATGACTTTACAGGCAATTCAATACCAATTTCTATGGTTCATCGGCTGTTGTGATTCTAATTGATGTAAGAGGGATTCAGTGAGGATTAAGCTCCTCAATCATGGAGGATCTTTGTGAAACACAAGAAAATGGTAAAGTAGCAGATGGCAACCTTCAGATTATTCGGCACTCACTGTTCCAACCCTGTGCCGGATTATCATCAATTTGGTTTGATTTGAGAGTCTTCTATGTTAGAGTCAGCAATTTTCAAGTTGATGATTCGACTCCGGAGTTTCTAACTCTCAATCATATCCCCTTAGAACCTGACACCCTTTTGGAAGTTAATGGAATTAGACGCAGCATAGACTCTGATGAAGTATCTGTACTCCTTAGAAGGGATCGTGTAGACAGAAGATCAGAAGAAGTCACCTTTGTGAGTACAGATAATGTTAAGTTGACAGGAAGTGTGAAATTCGAGGTGTTTGATAAAAAGGATCTCATTCTCTCTGGTCTTCTGGAAATGTCTGGTAATAATGGCTTCATCGGGGAATCAAAAAATATTGTGAAACAATGGAGTATGAATTGTGATCCAGAGATCACATCTGGCAGTGTTTTCCTGAAGGGAAAGCTTAATTCTTGTCCCATATTATCTCCACCGACCATTGAGGTTCATGTTGCTGGTTGCTTCTCTGGAAAACCAATAATTTTAACCAAAACATTGCAACTTAATTACCGGAAGAAGCATAATCGCAAGGGAGCATTGGAAGCAATCCCAGAATATAAGAGCACCGAGTGCCAGAAAGATATGTCACCTGGATATATGCAGGTAACATACCTGACAATTCACTATTGAAATTCCATTCCCTTTCTGTTCTGTTCACTTTAGTGGACTGAGTTCAAGATATGCTATGTTTGAGCCATGCTTTGACACTGTATTCTTAATCTTACCGTTTTAGTAGCTCATGATCTGTTTGTTTAAGGATGACCATTCTTAAGCTTTGGTCAAGTGCTGTGATTTCAAATTCAGTGAAATTTTTATTTTATGTTAGTTTCCTTCCTCCGTTTTAAGGCTGCCCCGTGCTTCCTGTCTCAAACCATGGTCCATACTTGCAAGATTTGGAATGGACCGGGAAACAGAATCTTTATCCTATACGTGTCATCAGCGTATGGGCAATGCACACTTCTAAAGTGATAGGATATTGAAAATAGATATATTTGTCTGTGGAGGCAACTCATATCATGGGGAAACAAATTTGTGTCAAACCCTCTTTAAAAGAATTTCCTGTAAGCATTAGGTATTTGTATTCGTAGTATCTTCTCTGGGATCCCTTGGATTCTCTATTATTATTTTTAGAGGATAAAAATGTCTTGGATTCTTCCAGACAATACAACACATAGCTCATTTCTAACCCATCGCTTTACTTTTCAATTTCCATTCATAGTTATCAGAATACAGAAACTACAAACAATTGAATGATGAAGACTACAACAATATCTTCTGGAGAAGAACAGAGTACATGGATAATGAAGACGGTGAGCTCTCATGGTTCAATGCAGGTGTAAGGGCCGGCGTAGGGATCGGTCTTGGCGTTGGTATAGGAGTTGGCTTGTTGGTTCGCACTTATCAAGCAACCACCCGTACCTTGAAAAGGTCAATTATCTAAAACCTTGCATCTAAATTGGTATTACAGTCCCCTCCCTTGAGATCCAAAGCCATATATACCACCATCTTGTTTATGACAGATTTTGCGCAGATTTGCAGCTAGTTTGTTAGATAGTTTAAACATAGGGGAAGTAAATGTGTAGGCATACATGTTGAATACTGTATGACTTGTATTTCCCTGTAAATAACTATGTTTTTGAGTAAACTGGTGTGTGCGTTCAGAAAAGCATTAGTCCTATTTCGCATTTTGATAGTTTTTTAGGCTTAAGTATACTTTTGGTATATGAGCTACACTTAATTTTCAATGTCGTACATTTTTTTATAAAAAAAATTACATACATGAACTATTTTGTTATTAACGAGTTAGACTATTTCTGTCACGAAAGTTGAGTCTGATCCCTTAAATCAGTCAAAAATTGACGCGACATACTTTTCAAACCAAAATTCTCCATTTACTTAAAGTGAAATAGTACAATTAGTCTTTTTAGGGGTTCACTATTTTTAAATTGGTTAAGAGTTCATATCAACTTTCATGATGAAAATGGATAAACTTGCTAACGATAAAAAAAGTTAAAATATGAAATTATAACTCGTATATATGTAATACGAAATTATTACTGCATAATTGACTGAGCGAACGTAGATCAACCGGCTGCTGGTGCATGAACAGCGTCGGAACCAGAGTGATCGTTGCCAATACATTGGAGTTTATCATGGAATCCCCAGATAGTGGCAGACTTGATATCATCTTGGATAATTTGTTTGGAGAATTCTTCATGGTTTTACTCCAGTATGGCCTTCCCTCCAAATTCAGTTGGTAGATTTTCCCCGTCAAAGTATGATCTCATGAGCTCCACGCTGTCGGTATTCCTAGGGCACACAAATTTCCCCTTGTGGAAGGTTTTTGTATCCATGAAATACTTAACAATCTGCGAAAAATGAAAGCAAACCAATTCAGTTCGTATTTTGCCCATACATCAATCAGTATGAGCCAATATCACCTCATTTAGCTTTCCGAAAATTGTTCTGAATATTGTTTAGGGTTATTAAACACGACTAAGCATATATAGTTAAGTCCAAATACATTAAAGGCGGAGTGAACAAGGTTCATCCATGGCAGCCTAGAATATATGCAAAATATGAAAAGTCGTTGCAGAGGATAGAACTCAAACCTTCCAGAATGCTTCAAAAATTCTCGGGATTATAGAGAAATGCTATAGCCAACCTCTTGGGATTAATAGTGTTGTGTGCCGACTTGATGGGGGCACACTTGTGCTCAATGTCCACCACGATAAATCTATCAACCATACCATCCGTCTTGGATAAATCTATCAACGCTGACTAATACTAGGATCTGACAACCTAGTTCAACCTGCTGCATTACACTGCAAAACTTGGGAGTTATTATTCAGAAATAATCAACTGAAATAGCAGGTAATCAGCTTTTAAATTAAAAAGTTTGAAGTGAGAACTGAGAAATTAGACCGTATACCTTAACAGTCAAAAAAGTTGCAGAGAAAATCTGCTTTCAGTTCTCCCCACCCAGAATACCACCACACCATTACAGTCTAAGGAAGTAACAAATTTAAGAACCAAAAAATAGAGCAAGAATTATGAACTAAATCAATAATTTCATTGTATACACTAATATTCAACAGCAAACAATGACATAATGCTGCAGGATCACACACCTTGGAAACAAGGATGAGACCTGAGACATAAACTTGAACCACACCTGAGACCAGGCAGCTGGCTGGTTTCATATCATTTCCACAGAAGAGCATTATTTTCATAAAAGTTGCCATAATTTTCTATCGCAACTAGTCTCCCTATGGAATCAATTCTTTGACAAGTTACAATATTCATATAAAAAGCAGTGGCAGTCAAAACATTGGTCACACAAATTACAAAATTTAAAAAAAAAATCGAAAGAAACATGATTCAACAACTGCTAAAACTTTCAGAAGAAAATGGGATAAATCTGATGAATTCTGATGTCATGTAATACAAAAAGTCTGTAAATTTAAATGGAAGGAAAAGTATAAGATTGTTTAATCAACATATAACGCCTAATCACCATCAGCAAGAGAGCAAAACGATGATGCCTTTTTGCATCGGCCTGGTAAGTAAAAGTAAACACTTGGGTTGTCCTAGTTCAGAAGTTCTTATTTTCTTAGCAGTAGCACAACTGGTATGGCCAAACCTAGTGCTTGTTCCATCAACACAGTAAAAGCTTTATCTTTTCCAAATTTTCCTGCTTTTATTTTTCTAATACGAATATATAGAATTTAAACCTGATAATAACCAAGAAAAGCTTCCGCATTAGTAAAAAATGAGTAAAAGAATATCAATACCAAAAGATAAAAGGAATAAAGACAGATGAACAGATACAAAGATGTAGCGAAAGAACTGAAAAAACAGATAAAACTGAAGTGGTAACTTTTTTTTATGTATTTTGATCATTCAATTTTTGGAAGTTCCATTTTAATTATTTTGCATAGACATATCTCAACAATAATGAAAATTTGAAGACATAAGGAATTAAGGATCCAGGCGGACTCGAACCACCAACTTCACAAACCACAATGTTTGAGCGCTCTGCCGATTTTGAGCTTATGGATCCACAACCACAAGGTTCACAGATAACGGGTTCTAATTCCAACCGCTCGTAATGACCCAAAGGCAGGGTAAAATAGTTATTACAGGGCCCCCAAAATTGGGATTCAACAGCCTAACCAAAACACTGGCCACTCCTCCCTCCACAGTCTAACCAGCACCAAAACTATTTTTTTTTTCAACAGAACATCTTTAATTATAGAAGTTTAAATCATAAATGTTCCAGAAATCATAGTCCTTATACTTTATTTAAAAAAAATCTATATGCTACTTAAAAAAAAACTTTATTTTTTTGAAAATCTTGATCCTCCCTAATTGCTGACCTGACTGTTGTAAAAGAAGACAATAACATTTTTAGTGCACTCTATTTACATTTTTTAACAATTTGACACTTGCTCTTTAAAATAAAAATATATATATGATAAATTAGACAATACATTTTTTAATCATCAACATTATGATATTTTAAGGATCAAATTGACAAAAAAATGCAAATGTAATGCGTTAAAAAAAGTTATTTCACCTTTCTTATAACTATCAGGTCAATCATAACAAAACAAAAATTAAGACCAAGATTTTCAAATAAAAAATAATACAAAAACTCAACTTCATAAAAATAAAATAAAATATAGGAACTAAACTTTAAATTCTAAAATATTAAATATACCCTAAACATATTTAAACTTACTCCATAGGTGCTCCATAAACAAGTATCTTGCCACATCTAACTTAACAAAATCATGTTCCACAAATTACATGTAAAATTAATCCAGAAGATTTATATGTAAACTTAGATTGGAGTTGCAAAAGATTTTACATGAAAAAGATCAAAAGAACTCTGCGACTAAGAACTCAAGAGAAATATGATTGCAAGCTAGTCAATTTTCGTGTCTGATAGCAATGATTTGGTTACATATATCATTGGTGCAACATAAAGCCAAAGTTTCAGTTCATCGGCAATCCTAAAATAATAAGATTGTCTGCTAGGTATTGCAAAGAATTCACCATGTTGTGAGTATTTGGAGCAATTTTCCATGCAATAGTTCCTGCATAAGGTGCTTAAAGCTTTCCAAAGGAGTGAGTCTAACATATAGTCCTGCAACACAAATTCAACAAGTTGATTCACATGCCCTTGGATGGAAAGAGACTATAACTAACGTAACAAAAAAACATTAAGTTGCTCACTTCTCACAGAAATAGCAAGAAAATCCGAAAAGCTCTCTGCTTCACCATCAACACAAAGATGCGTTGGTTAAAATCTGGATGGTAGCCTCGGCTGGAAAGGAAGCAATTAGTTGGATCAATGAAATATACAACTTATTTATGAACTAATACGTGATCATATCCAGCAATACTATAAGAAGACGACGCAGACCTCCACATTTATACCATGCCCATAATACAGTAGAGTAATAACACCCACCCTTCGGTTACAGTTCATATAAACAAAAAAGGTCAACCTAATATTTATTCCATGCCCATAATTCCCAGGGGCTGCCATTGAACTTGCTAATCATATTAATGAGAACCATTGCAAGTTCAAAAGACTTGAAAACACATCAGTCATATGGAGATATATGATTGTATTAACTAATTTGGTATCATATCAAAACCAAGCATAAGAAATAGAGTTAACATTGCATTAAACATTTTGGGTTAAAATGGCAAATTAAGCAATATACCTTCTTAGTTGCTCTCAGAATCATATTCAGTTTCATTCTAAAATGCTTTGATAGGAAGTGGTATTACTTGGTTTGCATAAACCAGCAAATCACAAATAGGCAACTGGAGATGCATGAGAAAATTAAGAAACTAGACCACATCTCTTGTGCCATCTCCCCATAGCAAACAAAGAAAATTGAAACTTTATTAGGATTTTTGACCCACAAAGCAAGCCCACCTGTCATGGAAAAGGTCGGATAACACCACAATCAATTACTTAGTTTCTTTTTCTGTACAATTTTTTCACCTCGTGTATCTTCTCAGCAAAAAATTTCTAACCATTGATTCATTAACACATAACTGCTACTTGCTAAACAGACTACATGTAGCAGAACAAAGACTCCCTCATCAATCTACAATAATGAGACAGGTTTAACAGAACAAAGTTATACAATGAAATAAAGCAAAAACTAACAGACCACCGCAAACAATTTTACAGTGTGTTCTATTTACATATAGAGTTCATGATTAAATATCGAAAAGAAGTCACCATATTGGAAGTATGTAGCAAGATTCTTTCTCATGCAAAATGTTTCTGAATAAGTTGCTCAACACTTTCCAAGGGTGTGTATAACATGCAATCCTGATCAGCAAGTCCAACAAGTTAATGGGCATACCATCAAATGAAAAGAATAGAATAACTAAACATGCAAGAAGTTGCTCACGTTCCACAGGGTATTGAAAAGCTTAGGAGTCTAAAAACCTCTACACGTGTCATCAGCAATACATTGTTGCCATAGGTAATAGGATGACAACAGCATCAATTGCAAACAAAGCCATCAGTTCCTTCAATGAAGCATACTACTTATTTGTGAACTAAGGTATCAACCCAGCAACAGAAACAATTTACAACAAACCAAATAACCACTTCTCTTATAACAAAATACATCCTTATTAAATAAGGCTTCAACCACAGGCTGAGTGGAATCTATACTAATTTCACCCCAATAATTCCCAGGGCCACTATTGAGCTTTCTATTGTCAATCACATAAATAAGAACATTTGGAAGCAAGACAAGTCTAGCAGTGATGAAAGTATAACTGTCCACGGAAATATAAGATGTTATAATATAAATGTTGGTATCGAATCGAAATCAGGTATGAGATGTGAAAGATAGTTTGGTTATGGAGCCCAACTAACATACAAGTAGCATTGGACATTTTGGGTTAAAATTGCAATGAAGAATTATACCTCGTTAGTTGCAATGGTACTCAGAGAAACCATATGCTCTCCAGAATCGAATTCAACTTAAATCTATCAAATGGCATACGTTTTGATACGGAATATTATTGCATGTTTTGCATAAAGCAGCAAATCGAAAATAAGGAGTTAGCAATGCAGGAGAAACGTAAGAGGGAAGAGGCCAAGACACAAAAGGGGAGTGCCGGGGAAAATAAATAAATAAACAAAATATATTTCCCGTGCCATCTCCCCCGAAAGACCAAGAAAATTGAAATTTTATTAGGGTTTATGACCTGCCATACAAGCACCTGTAATGGCAAAGGTCGCATAACACCAATATCAGTCACACTGTTTCTTTCCCCTTACAAAATTTTCAACTCTTATATCCTCTCTGCAACAATATTCTCACTCTCAATTATTCAACTGATAACAACTACTAGCTGCTAATCAGACTACAACAATAAGATCCATGTAACAAAACAAAGAATACCTCATCAATCTACAGTATAGAGACCGGTATAAATCAATAAATAAATCAAAATGTAACAAATATCCGCAAACCCTTTACAGCTTGTTTTTTCTCCGAATGCATTCAACACCACGAAAATCATTGAACAATACGTCATCGTTGAACAGATCGCATCAAACACCAAAATCAGTCATCATATCTGAACAAATTTTCAGCTGTAAAAAAGTCAAAGAAACAACACGCAATCAAGAAACCAGAATAAAGGCAGATAAAATAAGGGTTCAAGATTGATACCTCATGTATAGACAAAGACCCAAATATAGATATCCGAGTTTGAAAAAATGATCAAGTGGTCTCTTTAGAGAATAACTGACTAAAACACAGATATCAGCTATAGCAAGTAGCAACCTTCAAAAGAAAAGTGGGTGTCAAACTCTAGCTTAAAACATCGATGAACAGAACAAACGACGTGGTAATTGAATACAGAAACTTAAACATTAGCATACCTCAGTAGATATATGAGCAAGAAATCGATTCTAGTAATCGCGTGAGCGGAAAACATGTTACGAATCAAAGAATGGAGATTGGAGAGGAATAATGGGTTCCAACAAAAGAGGGAAAACACAAAATAAAAGATAACGAAGCGCTCGTCAAACTACCTGAAATTTCGATCAAGCTTAAAGAAACAACAAGAGAAAAGCATAACTGTACAAACTGAAGAGGCGCGCCATTACATTTATATACAGAGTGGCGGATATTTTTGGAGCAGAATTTGAAATATCTAACGGTTTTGATTGTTTCATGGTTGACAAGATCAACGGTTGGATTTGAGTGATACACTTATTCCTATGGATGTTGGTTGGTCGTGGTCCTCGTGGAGAAAGGCAAGCTAGGCGTGAACTGCTCTTGTTTCTTAGACCAAGAAGATTCTGGATGGGCCTTAATAGGGGCTTTTTAAGGCCACGATTTCTGGGTTAAAGGATCAGGCCCAAAAGGAAAGAAACTAGGGTTGGAGAAATATGTGTTGCCTGTCATAATATTGCCAAAGGACGAGTTAAGCATTAGCGAATAAAAAAAAGTATATATAAATATATATATATATATATATATATTAATAATAAATAAATTTTAAATTAAATAAAAAAATTAAAATCATCATCAGTAAAATAAATAACTAATCAATAATGATAATTAAACTTGAATAATTCACTTTTTAAAAATATTTTTTTTAATGAAACAAATCAATAATGATAGTTATTATAAAGAAACTAATAGAAAATTTATGATGAAGTTTGTTTGTGATTCCGAAAGAGGTCACGATCTGTTTGTTTACATTTTTTCCTTTTAAAATAATGCTTATAATTCTATATTATTTTTTTTAAAATGACTTTTATTAAATAAAATAATAGTTCAAAGTCAAAGCAAACAAATATCCTGACCAGAACCGTACATGTCACATAAACTAGGTTCATTGGATTTGATAACTAAAGGGTTATAGTGAACCATGAAGGGATTTAGTGTATAAATAAAGTTGGTACACAAAATCACTTTTAATAGATATATTATTATTATTAGGGAGGAGCAAGTAGAAAACTTAACGTGGAAGGTTTAAAAATCGGGTTTATATAATATTTCAGAGTTGCTTGTGACCCAGTTATTCTTAAAGCTGGTTCACCTTTTGTGCTTTTGTCCAAGACACTCTAATTATGTGAGAAGCTCTTCTTCTTTTTGATAGAATATGCTTTACTTTCTTAGTTATTTTCAGAGCTCCTCTTGTCGTTTCTTAATGGACAAGGGAAACAAAAACTATGTAACCTCCATGGAAATGCTCAACATGACTTTTGAATTATTTCCATTACCGACGGCCCATTTGGACTCTCAATGTTACTCAAAAACCAATGATATTGTCTTTTAGACTAAACATGTTATATATTTTCCCAACATTAATATTTTTTCCAACTAATGATTTGAATGCCATTCTCACCAATATATTAAATATTACATTCATTTTCTTTTAATTATATTATGTCTAGAATAAGAATTTTGTTTATTTGAATTTTTATTTCATTTTTAAATTAATAAGTAATTACTTGTTGAGTAAATATATTAAATATTTTTATTTAATTTTATACATTTAAATATTTAATATATTATTATTTTTAGTATTTCTAAAGTTATATAGTGAGATTTACTTACGAGCGAATGAGTTAAAAATTAATTTTATTTTATTTTCTTTAAATATTTCAAAATCTTATTCTCAAAAAACAATCCTACCATTAGCATGTGCCGCTTGCTGCCTCTACGGCAATTCAGTTTATTTCCTTGTAAGAATTCCACGTGGTCCCATAAACACGCGAAACTAGTTCCTAAGTTTTTTTTATCCTTTTCTTATAGTCTTTGCCCACCGAAAGTTTTATTTTACGAATCTACGCTTCATGCCTTCTTTATTTATTGCTGCAACATTTTTGTCGGATGAATGAGATGATCAAACTTGGCAACGTGCAAGACACAGAGTTCATCCCTTCACTTATGGCTGCGTTTCGTTTTACTGGAACTTTTCTTCTTCTAGCTCTGCTACTGGCAGTAAATAAAGCGAGTAAGCTTTTTCACTCCTTTCTTTCCACAGTTTAATAAAAGCTTCTGAGATGAATTGCATGGTAAATGTTGAATTAAACTTCTTTCCTTTTATCTCCCTCTATATTTAAAATATTACTTTGTTGTTTGGCTCCGTTTTGGCTCGAAAATATGTAAAACTTTCTTTTTCTTTTCAATTTTTCTTGTTTATGCAAACTTTTCTCTGGCAAGGAAAAAATTCAGATTATTCCTTTACTTTTGCTTTTTAGACAACGTAAAGCAGTGGCAACGGTTCATTTTACGACATATAACGGGAAATTTGCACCTCTTGAGAAAATATGAGAGAGAAGTTTAAGTGTTTAACAACGTACGTCTTTGTTTGCAGAATCCCAATCATTTATTGGTGTAAATTATGGCCAAGTTGCCGATAATCTTCCATCACCGTCATCCACGGCAAAGCTTCTCCAATCAACTTCAATCCAAAAGGTCCGACTGTACGGGTCCGACCCAGCAATCATCAAAGCGCTAGCCAACACCGGAATTGGCATCGTCATCGCGACGGCCAACGGTGACATCCCCGCCTTAGCTTCAGACCCAAATTTTGCCAAGAATTGGGTGAATGCCAACGTAGTTGCGTATTACCCATCCAGCAAAATCATCCTTGTAAACGTTGGCAACGAGGTTATCATGTCTGGTGATAACAATCTGATATCTCATTTGTTGCCAGCCATGCAAAATATCAAGAATGCCCTGGATGCGGCTTCGTTGGGGGACAAAGTGAAGGTCTCGACGGTGCATTCAATGAATCTGTTGAAACAATCTGAGCCGCCATCTTCTGGGATATTCGACCCGAGTTATGGAGACGTGTTGAAAGGACTCTTAACGTTTAATAATGCTACCGGTTCGCCTTTTGCTATTAACCCGTACCCTTACTTTGCTTACCGGAGCGATCCAAGGCCTGAAACGCTGGCGTTCTGCTTGTTCCAACAGAATCCGGGACGTTTCGATGCCAACACGAAAATCAATTACATGAACATGTTCAATGCTCAGGTAGTCCCGTGAACATGTTCTGTAATGCCCCCTTAAAATGATTGCTTATTTTAACACATACTAGTATTAAATTAAGATTGCAGATGTTATGCTGGGTCAAGATAACAATTTAGTACTATGGTTTAACGTGGATTCATTTCATTGCTTCTACAGGTGGATGCTGTTCGTTCTGCATTGGATGCCATGGGGTTCAAGAACGTTGAAATTGTGGTCGCAGAAACAGGTTGGCCGTACAAAGGAGACAGCGATGAAGTAGGAGCAACCATTGAGAACGCCAAGGCTTACAATGGAAATTTGGTTGCACACCTTCGATCAATGGCGGGAACTCCATTGATGCCAGGGAAATCGGTCGACACATATTTATTTGCTCTCTACGATGAGAACTTGAAACCCGGACCAACATCCGAAAGATCTTTCGGGCTTTTCAAATCCGACGATCTCACCATGACGTATGACGTTGGCCTCTCAAAGAGTAGCAGCCAGGTGAGACTACTGCAACTATTACTGATCAACAGAAATCAACATACTGTTAAGTCTTGGTAGTGAATCTTATCTTTGATCTGTTTTTGTTTTCCTCTCCTCAAGTCTCCGGTGAGTCCATCAACGGAGAAGGCACCGGTGACACCATCGACAGAGCCGAAGAAAGCAGCTTGGTGTGTTCCAAAGCCTGGTGTTTCAGATGCCGAACTGCAGGCAAGTTTGGATTACGCTTGTGGACAAGGCATAGATTGTGGTCCAATTCAACCAGGAGGGGCTTGCTTCGAACCAAATACGTTAACAGCACATGCTGCATATGCAATGAATCTCTACTATCTAACTTCTGGTCAGAATCCATCGAGCTGTGATTTCTCACAAACAGCCATGCTTTCCTCAAACAACCCAAGTAAGTTCAAATTTCTTAAAGCAGATCTTTACTTTTTTGGTGTAGAAAGCAAGTTATTTAATTTTTTATGAATATTTGACACTTTACAGGCACTAATGGCTGTAATTTCCCTGGCGGGGGTAACTGAAAAGTAGAGTAATATTCGGGCAGATGAATGAATAAAGGGCGGTGGATATCTTTTTTGCTGTTTTTTTTATTGTCATTTAGTGAGTTCTTTTAATCTCGTCATCTTTCAATAATGGTATTGGGTAATACCTGATTAGCAATTCTTTTAGGCCCTTTATAGTTGGAAGAATTATGTTGCTGTGAGTGATGGTGATAAGTGTGAAAAATATGTTCATGTCAACTTAGAAATTAGGAAGCCAGGTCTTGTTGAGTTATGTATGTATTTGATTGAATTTATTGGCGTAATATATTATCTTTAATAATGAAGCAGACTAATAAAGCACTGGGTAATCCATGCCTTTTTTTAAAGGTTGTTATAGTTGATTGATTGTTCATACAAACTTCTCCTCAACTTGCCAAAAAAAAAAATTACATTGGACTATGGAAGCAAAATACTAATATGCAGGCAACAATTCTTCTTTTTGTGTGAGATATATATGGTCACGCGATGGAACTTTAGTTCACCGAGAACCATAGAAATGGCTTCTTCTTAACGTCGTCAATTCTGTATAAAATAATTTTACCTTTCCTTTCCTCAAATTGGAGTTTTACAAAATAGGATAAAATAAAAGAATGTAAGGAATTTTCAACACCTCGTACTTTCCCTCTCATGTAATATTTTTCCCAAATAAGGAAAATGATAGTGTGTAAATGAATCGAGCTTAAACGAATAAAATTATGTTTATGTTCATTTGTTTATTTTTGAAAGTATTTAGCTTGATTTATGTTCGTTTAAAATTTTAATAACGTGTTCATTTATTTGACACTCATGAACATGTTCATTTAACGTTCGTGAGCATATTCACTCTATTTTCACACTTTTATTTACATGCCAAAAAATGTAAAATTATGTTATAATCATCCTTAATTTTCTTAAGGTTCATAGTTTGAACTCCAAAATTTATCTTATATTCAATTTAGTCCATATATTCATTGATATTTAGAATTTTAAAAAAGAGAGAGATAAAATAAAAGGGGGACCTATTAAATGGGCTTATAAAAGAGATAATAAACGATCTAATAAATAAGCATCTTCGTGAATATAAACAAATCGAACATACATGTTTATGTTCATTTATTAAATGAATATAAAAATTATTCATGCTCATTTATTTAGCTTAGTAAATGAATGTTATACGAACGGGTCACGAACAATTTGTTGAATGTTTTTATTCATTTACACCTCTAAAAAAGATAATATTTTCTCCCAAATTACTTAGTTTTCGTCCCTATTTACCCAATCCAAGCTTGGAGGTAAACTCATTATTATAAGTACTAATACTTGTTCTCTTTCACTTTCCAACTTTAGGTTCACTCCTCCCACAACAGCTAGAAATCAGTTTTTATTAGTAGAACATAAAAGGGAAAATGCAAAATTTGAAAGTTTAGGATTTCAAGAAGGAAAACCTAAGAATGAAGATGCTTAGAGTCTTTTTAATTTATCCAATTATCATAAATTATTTATCATCATTTACAAATGTTATACAAAATAACATTTTAAATATTAAGTTAAAATCTTGCAAATTAATCTGTCAAAAAGAGTCTAATAAATTAAATTGATTTTGTATTTTTGACACATTAAATGAATAATTAATAACATAAGAAAAAAAAGATACACGAATAATATGGATTATACATGAATGTTACTGGGAGTAGATAGCTTCTCTAAACTCCCCCGTCTAGATCCCTAAGAAAGGTCATTCATTGGCCAACCCAATGATGATTAAAAAAGAACCCTAAGAAACTTCATTAATGATTAACGATTTACATTTTCAGAATTAAGCACGAGCTTTAATTGACGTCCAGTGATTATGATACCTGGTTTTCACCCAAGATACCCGTGTTCAATTCCCCGCATCGACTCAAGTTATTGTTGACAATTTTTTCATTTTCCCATTGGATTTAAATTTCTAGCAAAATGTTTTTTTTTCTGGTTGCAGAGATCGTTTCGTTTTAAGTTCAGATGGTTTCGATCATTCTAATCTACAACACTCGGCCACAGAAAGATTTGAAGGTAACTTTTTCCCGTCACCTTCTAAACAAGTTTATGGCTAAAATTCCACTGCAGCCGGGGGTCTTTGTCACTCGTTAAATTGTCTTAGAATCACTAACAATGCTACTTTGGGGTTTATGAATTTGGCTGGAATCTAAGAATACTGGAACGAAGGTTACAAGTTATTAAAATGAGAATGGATAATCAAGTATAAGCTCCTTTGTTGTATTCCAAACTTGTATTTACCATATGCTATGTTTCATTCAACACACATTAGACTGTTTTCACTAATAAAGAGCGGTTGATTAAGCAATCTGCAATCATTACATGCTTAATGGTTATTTGATGACTGTTATAATCTTCCTTTAACATTTTCTGGAAATAGGCCCTCTGACTATTTCTTCCATCTCTTAATGCTTACAGTATTGGGCTGGTGAGTAGCTTCTTTGCCTTAAATTTGATTTAGCGAAGCATTTTGCAGATAACGGTTTTAACTATCGGCTTCGTTGTTATTCAAATGTCTTTGCATCACTTTATTACGGCACAACTTATGGCTTTAATCTTTCAAGTACAAGCACTTAGAATCACTTGGAACTACACTTCCCTGGCAATGTCAAATGAAAACTTGTGCACAATGATTCATATTCCAGATAATGGAAAGCTTGAGGCTCGAGGTTAACAGAGCAGCAAAAAAATCATTGACAATAGACCATATAAATTAACATGCGGATAAAATCAGCTACTGCCTATTACCGAATACATCATTGACCATTCATGGCTTCTTCCAAAAGACGATATCCATAAGCAAAAAAGAAAAGCATTTTGTTTAACCAGTGCCGCCCACCAAACTTAGCCCTCTAAAACGAGCCCTAATCCTAATACACTGCGACATTAAAAAGAAAACCCAGAGATTTAAACACCAGTGGAGCCAAATCCCCCAGCCCCTCTAGTGGTAGCATCCAAATCCTCAACTTCCAAAACATCGGGTGTCATGATCTTCTCAATAATCAACTGGGCAATTCTGTCACCCACTTTCACTTCAAAGTCAACATCCGAATAGTTGAACAAAATCACCCCAAGGGGTCCCCTGTAATCTGCATCGATTACTCCAGCTCCCACGTCGATGGAATGCTTCCAAGCCAAACCAGACCTTGGCGCTACACCCAAAAACAAATTCCCCAAATTTTAATTCAGCCAGCGAAACGAATCATATTGGGTTAATGAAAGATGCTATAGAATAAGAGATTTATACCAACGCGACCATAGGTTCCTTCAGGTACTGAAATGCTTAGATCAGTAGGAATCAACGCTTTTCCTCTAGCAGGCACTTTGGTATCCGTTGCACTATACCAATATATTTTTTTTAAATCCATCAAATTTGTTATAAATTCAGGGAAATTTCCATTAACGATACTGGGTTGAGAAATTACCTTGACAGATCGTAGCCTGCAGCAAGAGCAGAGCCTCTAGACGGCAAAACAGCTTTTTCAGAGAGTCTTTTTACTTTCAAGAGCGATACTGAACCTTGGATAACTTCTTGTACTCCGTTTTGGCTGAGTTTTGGTACTTTAGGGGACGACTCTTTGATTTCAGGGCTGTTGTTAATCAGATCTGCTTGGGCCATCGCGAGAGATCTTGAGAACGGACATAAAAGAAACGAATGATTCCAACAGACTGGTTTAAGGACTAACGATCTTGAGCCAGGGCGATTCTTGTTATATAGAAATAAACCCTGGATTTTTAGGTACCCATGAGATGATGGCGCCATGTGTTCCCGCCATTTCTATGCGCACCATTCAATATCCAACTAAACTCCCCTACCTCCGCTTAAATGCTCTCAGCCGGCAATGGCCTGTGGGCCATTCTCAAGCCCAAACGTCTCACTCTTTTCGTTTCTGGGTAAAATCTTAAAAGCTCCAATGACAAACCCCGTATCAAACGTTTGTAGGATAATAATTTAATAAGGTTGAATATTTTTCATTTTTTTATAAGCATTAAATTTAAATTAATTAAATTATTTATTGAATAACTGAAATTATTAAATGTTTTTATTTAATAAATATAAAAGCTAAAATTAATAATAAAGTATAACATCTAAATTTTAATTTATTATTTACATAAAATATATTCAAATAATTATTATCTGTATAAAACGAATTTAAATAATAAATATCTAAATATTAATATTCGTATATACTTTGAAGTGTTTTGAAATGCCACTGGACCATAGTGCGTTGGCATCCTTAGGCAAAAATAATTCTCAACAGTAACGCAGGTTCTATGAGTAAGCATTCGATCAACATCAATTAATTTCACAATCATCATTATTATTTCAATCTAACATTCATTCAGGTGAACCCTAAAATTATTTTACATACTAAAATATAAATATCAAACTATCATTTAATATATAATTTCACGTAAAATGAATCTAATACATAAATATATAAATCCGTATTACGCATTGACATTTCTATTAGATTGCCTCGCGATCTGGGAATTAGTTATCATATTGGATTTGTAACTCTTCTTGGATCATTTGCATAATTACATTTCTAGGAAACTATGTCTACTCGGATCTAGAGGTTATATTTTTGTGTGATTAATGCTTTCTAGGGACTCATTTTGGAGTTTAAAAAGTGGGTTTTCATCAATTTTTTAATAAATTAACTGTAAACTAATTTAATGAGATAATATATTAATTCTTACAAGTTGATTTAAAGAGCTAAAATATTAAATCTTTTAAAACTATGATTAAATGTTTCAATCTTAATGTTGTTTATGAATAAAATTATGTATGAAAAATTGATCCCGTAATAGTCTTTACAGAATTTGATTTGAATTAATAAAAAAAAAGTTTTGATAAATTCGTGTGGTGTTTTATCTCTTTTATGATTATAATTTAAATATTTTTTGTGGGTAAATTATAAATTTGGTCACTTTTATTTCATTTTCATCTAGTTTTGATGACTAGTTTTTTTATAAATATTTGGATCATTTACGTTATTGATCTATTATAATTTAATCATCAAATTATTAATTTTCGTTAGTATAATAACATGACATGTTAGTAATAAAGTTTATTTCTAATTTGACCCTCAAATTTTTATAACTTTATTTTCACTCTATTAAAAAAAATCTCTTTCAACCCCTCTCTCACGGAGGGGGGGGGGGGGTGGACTTGAGTTAACGTATAATAACATGACATGTTAGTAATAAAGTTTATTTCTAATTTGACCCTCAAATTTTTATAACTTTATTTTCACTCTGTTAAAAAAAATTCTCTTTCAACCCCTCTCTCTCGGGGGAGGTGGGGGGGGGGTGGACTGTTCTCCCAAACTGGCAAACGCCACTCCAAATCACTTGTGCCTCTCATACATTTTTTTTATTTAGTTTTCCCTTATAATTACGGGTAAACCACAGTAAAGCATAAAAAGAAAGCCTTTTGGACAACGATTTTGTCTCCACTAAAATTAGGACTGAGCAACGAAATTGAAAAAATCGAAAAAGTAATACGATTCGAATAAAATGGTTCAGTTTAATTCGGTTTAATATTATACGGTTCGGTTTTCGGGTTGATTTAAAATCTCAATTCTTTTGATTCGGTTCGGGTTTTCTATATGGAACTCATTTGTTCCATATTGAACCGAATAGATAACTTTTTTAAAAAAATTTATAGTTTCAAATGATTTTTTAACCATTCGATTTCGGTTTAAATTTTAAAAAAATCTTTTAATTTGATTCGGTTCATTTTTTAGTAAAAAACTGAACCGAACCGAATACACCCCTAACTAAAACTAATGAAGAAGTCTCAAAAGCCACTATAGTATAGGCTTTCACTGACGTCATCCATTTGGGAATTCCATTACGTTGCTCCTCTTAACCATGGTAATTTATTATTTTTGGTCACTCTATAATTATTTTATTGGAGTATTTGTCAGGGCTTTCAGTTTTCTAAGTATAAATGGTATTTGCGAGTATAGGTTGTCGAGGTCATTAGATCACCTGTATTATCATCTTTTGTTCTCTTTTATAGTCAATGGTATTTATCATTCGGTGAACTTGTGATTGAGATATGCACACCTTCATTGTCTTTTTCATTGATTAATCATTTGAATTAAAAAATGAAACTTAAAAAAATATATATCTCAATTTCTCTCTTAAATGTTTTAGGAGGGCCATGCAAAGAGTATATGATGACGCCATATGATGTAAATGCTTGACAGTCTCATCGATCAAATGATGTATTAGAGACAACATAGACGAAGATCGGAGGTGAAGATAACATCAATTATAGAGTTTAGATTAAAGAAGAGAAAAAAGAAGAAGAGAACTTTTCTTTTTTCAATATGGTCAAAAATAAACTTTAAAACATTAATAGGTCAGATTCAAAATAAATTATATTATTATCATACTAATCATCAAACTAATTTGAGTTACGGTTCAACAATCAAATGATAACAAATTGATAATATAAGTGATTAAAATATAATGATTTAAAAATCAATAATCAAAACTGATAAGAATCAACACAAAAGTGACCAATTTCGTAACTTACCTTTTTTTATTTATTAAATAATAATGGGGATGGATAATTGAACTTTTGAAAAGGTCGAGTTCCGATTTCTCAGCAAGCTCACGTTCCACTGATTTACTTTTTTAAAACGACTCGACAGTCTACCCCAAGTTCCACGGTCGTGACGTATGATGCACCCATCGAAATCCAAAACAGATGAAACAATTTCCCTCTGAATCTCCCACTCTTAACAACCTTCGCGTGCAACCCACCGTTAGACTCATTCAGAAACCGGATTTTCTCAAGCACGTAGATATTATAAAAATATCAGCATAAGAATCCGTCCAATACTAACTGTATTACAGTTGGACGACAAATTACCCTCTTCCTCACTAACTTAAGCGACGCTACCAAAAAGCGCAAGCAAATAAGAGGAAAACTGTGAACAAGGTTTTTGGTATTTCGACTTTCATTCATGGCTTATGCCCCTGCCTCCGCTTTCCGCCACCATCTCAGCGTCAACCCTTCCCCTTCGATCTCCAAAGGTATTTTACCTTCCATCTTCTCGGTATCTAAAACCCTAACTCAGACCGTTTGCCATTCCTTTTCCCGCCTTTTTCCCACTGGTTCCAGTTTTCTGACATTTAGTCATTGAAATGTTAAGAAGAACGGTGACAGATTTAAACTGGTCTCCAAATCAGCGCATTTTTTTTGTTGGCTTACGAAACTAAAAAAAAAGATAGCCTTTTTTAAAGTAAAAAATAATAATTTCAGTTTGAAAAGTATAATGTGAGCGCAATGTTTGTCCATTTAGTTAATTATTCTGAATTTAAGTTTAATTCGATTTGAAAAAGAAACTATTGGACATACTTCTTCGATTTCATTTCTTGCATAATTGTGGTACTCCAATTTCTACTTTTATGCAAAATTTTATCTGATTAATCATATAAAATTGTACAGAATTGAGACTATTGCTAGCGTACCAGCGTACCTGTTCTGCATTATCGTCGAACATGACACTAAGCATTATAGTTTCAAATGTTTTCCTTAAATATAAACCATATCTACAATTGATGCTTCCGATTGTATTATGCAGATGTTCAAGGATCTGACAACTGTATTCCACTTTCACCACAGTGGCTTCTGCCAAAGCCAGGTGACAGTAAGCCTGGAATGGGAACTATGGTATGAGTTATTGCTGCTGCTTTGGTTATATAATTCGGTTACTTTGATTCATGTTGTTCTTCTTCATTCCTAGGCTCGGATTTGTGAATGTTTTGTTCATTTCTCTATTAACACACTGTTATCATATCAAGAATTAGTTCATGGTATGATTAATAATCTTGCTATACCATAGGTGCTTCTTTTTACCTCCTTAATTTTCAATCATCTGTACAGGGAAGTCAGACCAATGTTATGAAGCCCTTGGGAAATGGCAAGGAGATAGATGATATGCCGAGTAGGAAGGATGATTTCGGGCCATCTTTACTTGATATGGAAACTGGGAAGTATCGCTGGCGTGATGAGGAACGAGAGACCCATTTATCTGTTCGCAAAGATAACTGGAGGGATGGAGATAAAAATCCCGGTGACACCCGCAAGATGAACCGTTGGGCAGAGAACTTGCCTTCAAGGCAATTTGGGGAAGCAGGCCGTGCACTCTCTGAGCGGTGGACTGATTCAGGTAACAACGTTTCAAGTTATGATCAACAGCGTGAAAGCAAATGGAACACACGGTGGGGGCCTGATGATAAGAAGGCTGAAAGCTTGGGTGACACGTGGACAGATTCTGGAAGAGTTGGTGATATGCTTCTTGAGAAAGGGTTGTCTCATCTTTCCATTAATGGGAAGGATGATAGGGAGGGGGATCATTATCGCCCATGGAGATCGAGCTCTTCCCAAAGCCGAGGAAGGGGAGAGCCTCTTCATCACCAAATACTATCTCCAAAAAATCAGGCACCAACATTTTCCAATGGCCCGGGAAGTGGAGCAACCTTTTCTGCTGGTCGTGGAAGGGGAAGTTCCGGTGGAAACACTGGGGCTAGTATACCATCTTATCATCGATCTCTAGGAACCTTATCTTTCAAGGGTGAAATTGACCGTGGAGAGCCCTTCCCTTTAAGATATAGTAGGATAAAATTACTTGACTTATATAGGAGGGCTGACATGAGAATTTTATCATAAACTCTTAGAAGGGCCAGTATCAATTCCTTCTCTTACACTGGATGAACCATTGGAACCTCTCTCTCTTTGTGCTCCTAATTCTGATGAAATGGTAATTTCCTTTTTATGTACTATGATGGTGAAGTTTGATTTAGAGTCTTCTGTTGTTTTAATTGCATTCTTCTAGGTTGTGCTGAAGGGAATTGACAAAGGGGACATAACAAGTAGTGGTGCTACTAAGATGCCTAAAGATGGGCTCGCAAGCCAGAACTCTATTGAGTTTGCTCATTTAAGACAAAACAAGACTGGTATCCAATCAGATCAAGATGTATTCGGCTGTTTTGTGTTGATTTTTAGGTAGCATTTAATTTCTGCTGGAATTTGTGTTCAGGAGGTGCAGAAGATATGTCAAATGCCATTGATTCTAAAGAGGAAAGATCTGACATTCCGAATAACAGTTATTCACATTATTCAGAGGGTTCATTGCATGAAAAGCATAGGGGATACCTTAACCTCAATACTATTATTAAGAGGCGGCCATCTAGAGTTTTCAAGGGTGAAGCAGAATCTAAGAAGCCTGCTCCGGAGGACCTTCTCCTTCACTACAAAGATCCTCAAGGAGAAATTCAAGGCCCTTTTTCAGGGGTTGACATCATAGGTTGGTTTGAGGCAGGGTTTTTTGGGATAGATTTGGAAGTCAGGCTTGCAAGTGCACCGAAGCACTCTTCTTTTTCCTTACTTGGTGATGTAATGCCTCACTTGCGAGCTAAAGCAAAACCACCTCCTGGATTTGATGTGTCAAAACATGGGGAACTCCCAGATTTGTCAAGCAGGCCAAAATTTAGTAGCCTTGGAAAAGTTCATGCAGGTGCAAATGAGATTGATATGAGTAGAAACGAACAAAGGTTGAAAACTGAAGCTGAAAGTAAGTTTTTGGAGTCTCTTATGTCTGGTGCCATGAGCAATCCATTCCAAGGTTGGGTTTTATGTGGAGATCATATATTAATTATAATATTGTATATCGCTTTTGATTGCTGAACTCTGAAGGTTGATTATCATAAGGTTTTAATCTATAAAGTTGTTCACAGTTTTATTTGCCTAACACGTCTCGTGTGTTTTTCCTTTTCAAGGTCTGCAAGGTTATCGTACAAATAATCTTAGTGGCTCTCCGTTATCTGGAATAGAAAATGGGAGTGATCTCTATCTCTTGGCAAAGAGAATGACACTTGAATGGCAGAAATCATTACCAGAAGATTCCCCTTATTGTCCAGGGAGAGATACTGCACCTGTAGTTTCAAAACCAGAGATCATCTCTGAATCACCAACACCTGATGCAAAGCTCCTCACATCATTGACTGTCCACACTCTTAAGCTGTATCATTCACAAGGTGCTGATTCAATTTCTGTTCCTGGGGTTAATAATAGTGTTGGGATTTGGCCAAATTTCCCCGCACAAGGTGCATTGGATCCTCTTCAAAATAAGATTGAGTTACAACATACTCGAAATTTTCCCACCCAAGCTCCCTTTGGGGTCGCTCCAAACCTGCCTTCCTTGACAAGTTTACTCGGTCAAAATATGAATAATCCTACTGGTACTTTAACACCTGAAAAGTTAACCTCCACTATATCTCAAGAATCCCTACTGCTAAATATGTTGCAGCAGCTACAACCCCAGATGCCAGTATCAACACAACATATGTTGCTTGAGAAGATCATGTCACTTATGCAGCAACAGAAACGGGAGGAACAACAACAGTTGTTACGGCAACAACAATTGCTTTCACAGGTTTTGCAAGAACATTGTCCCCAGCAGTGTTTGGGTGACCCCTCTTATGGACACATACAGACTACTACAATGCCAACAGTGAATGCATCTGTGGATACCACTCAACTGCAGCCATCATCACAAGATGTGCTTCAGATTGGTTCACAGGTACAACTTCCTGGCACCCAAGATGAACAAGCTAATAACTACATGATTCTGCCTCCACAAATTTCCAATGATATCAATTATGTTGTTAGTTCTGAATCCCCTCTTTTGCATCTACCTCACCAGATGTTCGGTCAGAGAAGATGGGGGACTAACAGCCCGGAGCTGGTTAATGACACCCAAAAGTCTTTGCCAGTGACTACAATTGTTGAAAGCTCGCTAGCGGACTTATCTTCCGGGGAGACTTCTTCTGACTGCCGCACTCTTACATTGGCTCAGTCACGGGACTACACTCAGAAGATTGATAGAATTTTACCAAGTGTCACCTCAGTGAATGATGTGTGTGGAAGCATAGAGCAACTTGGAATTTCTACTGCTAGAACCTATAAAATTGATTTGCCTGTTAATGAGGGTGTTCAACTTACTGCTAAAATTGTTGAACTGCCAGTTGAGAGAGAGAGAAGCAACAATCATCCTTCTGCGGTGAGAGAAAAGAATGTTGAAGCTTGTGAGGTAAGAAAAGCTTCAGAAAAGAAGTCTAGAAAACAAAAATCTAGTAAATCACAAGTTCTGATCAGGCTAAGGGAGTTGCCAATGATTCCTCTTTGGTGCAATTGAAGCCATCTGAAGAGCCTGTTGTGTGTGATGGTAAGACTGCTTCAGATAACCCTACTGGGTCATCTCCAGGAAATAGGGGAGAGAACAAGTCTCGAATAACCCCCATGGATTCTCACTCTGCTAAAAGCTCTTCTGCCGCTAATGTTGTAGTTGAGGTTAAAACTATAGAACCCATGAATGATTCCAGATTTTCTGGTTCTTTCCCAGCGCATAACACATCTAAACAACTTGTGGTACATGCTTGGAAACCTGCTCCTGGTTTCAAGGCAAAGTCTTTATTGGAAATCCAACTGGAAGAACAGATGAAGGCACAAACTGAAATGGCAGTATCAGAGGTTTCTTCTGCCAACTCTATGAATTTGTCAACTCCGTGGGCTGGGGTCGTGGTTAGTTTAGAACCCAAAGTTTCTAGAGAAAGTCAACAAGATGCAGGTATTGCTGAGACAGCTGTTGTGAAACCTGAAAACTCTGCAACTTCAAAGAGTAAAAAGAGCCCATTACATGATCTGTTGGCAGCAGAAGTTTTGGCAAAATCCAGAGAAAGAGGTATAGATGTTCCTACATCCACTGCCCATGTTACCATTACAACTGCGAAACCTATTGATGATGACAATATTGAGGCTAAAGAGACTAAAAATGGTCGGAAAAAGTCTTTCAATGCAAAGGGCATGGTGGCAAAAGCGACAGTTCCTCTTAATACTGTTGATATGCTTGTTAATGGAAGTCCTATTGACAAAGGCAAAATTTCTGACCCATCACAGCCGGAAAAGGAAGTACTGCCTCATTCAAGCCTTTCTTTGGGAGATTTTGTTCCATGGAGAGGGAAGCAGGTTAACTCTTTCCCTGCACCTGCTCCGGCTTGGGCTACTGATTCTATGAAACTTCCTAAATGCCCATCATTGAGGGACATCCAAAAGGAGCAGAAAAAGGATCCGTCTGTCCATTTTCCGATTCCTATCCCAACTCCTCAGAAGCCCCAACTAAGTCAGTGGACTCATGGTGGGGTTTCATCATGGTCCACTGCATCTCCACCATCAAAGGCTACATCTCCTGTCCTGATAAATTCTCATGTATCTTCTCAATCAAAATATAAAGGAGACGATGACCTATTCTGGGGTCCAATTGATCAGTCAAAGCAAGAAGCAAAGCAGTATGTTCTCTCCCCCTACTTTCTCCCTCCCTCGTGCAAATAAAATAAATGAAATGGCACACCTTTCTGCACTAAATGTTTAACGGATTGTCTTGCACATGCTGGAGTGAGTTGGAAAATTGCATCTTTGTTATCACCTGCATTCTAGCCTAGAAAGATAATACAATATGCTATCCTGTTCTGCGACACCTTGTTATTCAGTGTAGCTAAATTCAAGAGATATTTTGCCATAGTCATTATGGGAATTCATTTTGTCGTTATGTTATTTTTTATACTTGCTGACTTAAATATTTGTCAAATTCAGTAGGAATCACTAAATGCAAATATGAATTGTTTGTTGTAAACAGAGGTGATTTCCCTCTTGTAGCAAATGTGGGTGGCTGGGCTACAAAAAGCACTCCTGCCAAAGGAACTACAAAAAGCCGGCAGCAGTCGATGGGTGGGGGACCTTTTGAGCTTGTGTTTCAAAGTCATAATGTCGGAAAGCTGGCGAAGTTAGGTGCCGGAAATGTGAACTCTGGCAATACTGTCGTTTCTAATTTTCAGCAGGAAATTGCAGTCTCCCCAGATGCGTCTTCAAAGGAGGGAGGCAAGAAGAAAGGGAAGAAAGGAAAGAAGGTGAGCCCCGCTGTTTTGGGATTTAACGTTGTCAGTAAACGTATCATGATGGGTGAGATTCAGGTATTTGAGGACTGGGAATTTTGACTCAAGACAGGATCGTAACTTCTGATATTCACAGTTAATGATATTACTGGAATGTCGATGTAAATACATTTGGCTTTACTGTTTGTAAATGTTTCAGCCAGTACTTTTTTTAATCTCCTTTAGAGTAAGCAACAGCAGCAGCAATAACTGAATCTGCTCTAGCGATTTTGTGAAAGTAAATAAAGTTGCGGTAAAGTCCTTGGAGCAGTTTTTTTTAAATTCATATCAAAACTGGTATTTGGATTAATTCTTTCTACAGCCAGATCATGAATCAAGACTTTATTTCAGATAAGGATTCTATTGGACCGACAATAACCTGTTAATGTGGGCACCCTCAGTAGGTTCAAACTGAAGTAGAATCCCTGTCAAAGCATCCCTTAGCAAACTTCATCCGAAAGACTTGAAGCTAATTGCCATTTCATCCGATAGAATGAAAGTTGCATTGGCAACTGCGTCTGGAATTCCAGTTAAAAGGTAGTCCTAGTTGCAGCTATCTCCTTTCTGTGAGCAGTTTTTTCCCTACACTGATGCTCTGCACGTCAAAACAACATGATAAATATGAGACAACCTGTTTTCGTAGCATGGTACATTCAGTAATTCCCTGTTTAAAATCTTTCAACTCTAGTACGATTTTTATATTTTAAGTTCGGACTCAAACTTGAATTGGAATTAAGTGCCTTTTGTATTAAAAACAAGGATATTTATATAATTTAATAATATAAAATATTTAAAATATCTATTAATGAAAAACTCAATTAAGTTCGCAAGCATTTACAGTATTATGGTGCTCTCAAATTCAGTTCGACCAATAGCCTGAGTTACTCCAGCTCAACTTTGATTATTATCAAATCATATTTATTTATTTTAATTTAACTATCTACTTTCAAGGTTCCTTTGAGAACAAAAAGGTATGGACGATCTGATTGTCTGTTAGGAGATAAAAAAGCCCACAAAAAATGCAAAAGGGAAAAACCTAAATCCGAGTTCTAACCTTTGTTTCAACTGCTTTGTCGGCTAAAAAGATCAACAAAAAAATGGAAAAAGAAGGAGAAAATAACAAGAGAGTGACCTTCGATTAAGAAGAGGCCAAATCAAAATTGAAGGAATGCATAGATAATTTAGCAATCTCAGAAATAGCAGCATCTCGAACTCCAGGAACATCACTTGATAAATATTCATAAGCGGCCTCGAAAGCTTCAAGCCAAAACCTTGGCAATCGAACGCTGGCGCTTTGCGTATAAACATCCCACATCTTCCTCACCACCGTCTCTCTTTCCTCCAATTCCTGTTTTTAAACCAAAATTACTCAACCCAAATCCAAGAAAATCAAACAAATTATAAAAAATTGAGAGTTTGGCTACTTACAAGGAAGTCGAGATCGTCGTGGACAGAGAGTTCAAAGTCATCAGAGAATGTAGTAAGTTCATCGGAAGACCATTTGAGGGAAACAGAGCCAGTAAACATGGACCAGAAAGCAAGTAAGAGAATTACAGCCAAAACCCAGAATTTGTACCCACTTTTACCAAAGAAACCAGTTACGGAGCTATCTCTCTTCACAGTACTCGATGTTGCTTGTTGTTGCTGTGAAGTGATTGCATTTTGCAGTGTTCTGGGTGAATCTTGCTCCTCCATTTTCAGTTCTCAACCTCAGCTTTCGAATCTCCCTGTTCTGGCTAAAAGGGTAAAAGCAGTGAAGTAGCAGACAGAAGAAATAATTAGAACTATTAGGTGATTTAATTATGATCTCAGTCCCTGGAGTCCTCAACATTTAAATTTTAATTTATTACTCCTATTTTCTAAATTTTAACATATAATGCACATTGGAGAAGGCACGTTAAGTTTAAGATATACGTGTTTAATTTATTACTCTTATTTTCTAAATTTTTTATCTCAAAGCTTCATGTTTCACGCATCGACAAAACAACAATATTGGTTACTCATGTTTGTATCGAACTATCGATCCATATTTCAATGATGGACATATATGAAAAGAGTTGTAACATACGATGGAACAATCTTTGATTGAACTTGAACGCGTGTAATTCTCCAAATCGACACGGAAAGGGATGAGGGGAGCACCGACGATCTTAAGCAATGTTAAGAACTCGTTGTCGGAATTAGCGGGGATAAACGTTGAGCTCTCGAGAGATGATTGAGCTTTCATAAAATTGCGCATGTTTTGCCATCTTAAAATCTCATTGCTGCCCATCTTGGTGTACATTTCCTCGGGTATAGGCACTTCCAGGACGGTATCCAGGCTTTCTTCGTTATCAAGGTTAGGCCAAAATTTCATAATCATAATTGAAAATCAACTCTCCGAACGCTCCGATTTTTTTTTCTTTTTTACCTAGAATGAAACAGGTTAGCAGGTTTCAGAATTTTGGGAAGATTTTTATAACTATTATTTCTATTTAATTATGAGATTCACATGTATTAATATATATATATTAAGGTTCTTTGTTTACCATCTTTTTAGTATTTGTTAACTTTAATTTTAGTTTATTGTTGTTTTGAATTTAGCTAAAAATATACCAAAAAGAAAAAAATGGAATCTTCTAAACTGTAAAACGCGGATGAATGAAAATCCCACCGGTGGAATCTGAAAATTTAAGTATTAGCATATGTTTCAGAGTAAGTTTAACAGTCGGGGATATACGGATTCTAACCACTTACCTTTCATCAGAATCATTACCGTAAACATCAATGTTAAGGGACGAGGGAGGATATTCGTTCTCTTAAAAATTTAAAATTATAAGTAAGATAATTCATTTTGTATGTTATTCAAACAATTATTATATATTCAAAGTACTAAATTAGAAAATCACATTTTCAAACAATCATTAACACAATAAGTATTAATTTTAGGGTTAATATGTATGAATATAAACTTCTAACATAAATTATGGTTAATTATTTTAAAATTAGAGCAGGGTGAAATCCAAAATTTTCACAATAACGGGCTTATGGCCCATTAGTTCGTTCCCCCAGACAAAATAAATTTCATCATATGCAATGAAAGCCCAAGGATCCGTCCAGCTCCAGCCGGAAAAAAAAATATGCGGCAAAGAAAATAGAATATCTTGGATGTTAAATATTACAAAATCCGAAGAAAAAACACAAACCCTCGGCAGTTCCACCAAACTCTCCCAGTTCTGTTCCTTGTATCTTCCGTGGAAAAATGAAGGCGTCAATGAAAGGCAGATACACTAATGACAAGAGCATCGGGGCCGTTACCCTTTCCGTCAATGCCGGCGATGCCAAGCTCCGCGCCTCCATGACTGATGCCACTGTCTTCAAGGGTCCCAGCCTGAACGGTTTGGCTCTTGCCGTTGAGAAACCCGGCTTCTTCATCATCGACTATGACGTCCCCAAAAAGGCACGCATAACTGAAAAATACCAAAATTTCTTTAACTACGTCTTTAATTGATTAATCATTGACTTATTTTTTCTTACTTGAATTTTGTATATTTGGGATAGGATTTCCGGTTTCAGTTTATGAACTCAGTTAAGGTTGCGGAGAAACCGTTGAACCTGACTTATATTCACAGCAGAGGGGACAACCGGACCGTGGTGGATGGGTCACTCGCGTTCGATTCTGCTAACAAGCTGTCGGCTAATTACATGCTTGGTACGAGGAACTTTAAGCTCAAGTACAGTTACGTGCACGGAGGGGTTACGACTCTGGAGCCATGTTATGATTTTGGGAAGAATGCGTGGGATTTTGCGATTTCGAGGAGAGTGTATGACGATGTTTTTAAGGCAACGTATCTGACATTGAGCAAGGATTTGGCCTTGGAGTGGTCGAGAAATTCTAAGTTTAATGGGACTTTTAAGGTTACTGAAACTAACTAGATTGTTCTTTCTTAATATTTTCTTTGTTTTTTTTCATCGATTTTTTCGTGTTTCTGTTGCATGGTATAGTCTTAAATCTGCAAGTTGGATTCTGAATTTGAATTTCAATCTGATCTAACTAATTTATTTAGTTATGGAACTTAAAAAAAGTGACTCATGTGGTTGCGAAATCATAATTTATAATGACAGAGGCAAATTAAGGTTTCACAATAGCGACAGATTTTCAATCTCAAATGCTGAGAAGAGCTTGAAGCAAGCAAGACTTTGGATTGCTTGATTAATTTGCTTATATCCTTCTTGGATGTACACGCTATTTATATTTGTTGAAGGGAAGCTTTTATCGAATGACACTGGCATTTAGGTTGATGATATAAATACTGAACTTAGGTCATGTTTTTGAAGCATTACAGTGGTGGTTTATTGGGAGGCTACTGTTGCTTATGCAATCCTTATACTGAATAAAGTGAATAGTTTTTTTTCTTGGCCTAGGGAGTTTCTAGATGAATACACTGTGGTAACTGGTAAGCAGTGGATTTTACTGAAGAGAGGACCATTCATAGTCTTCTTGCATTGTCAGATAGCCTTGGTGGAAACAGATTTGATCCCTCTGTTGGTTGAGGAGAAGAAATCAGAGGAGTGATTTAGGGGATGGGTAATCCGTCTTGAAAGCTCTTATACATTGTGTTTTGGAAAAAAGTTGGAGCAGAACACCTATTATAAATCTAATGCTGAAACTTGAGAGTATTGTATACATGATACGTTGAGTTATGATGATTTTTTTTATATCTTAATACTATTTGTTGATATCATGACTTCTTGCTTAGTGATACAACTTGTCAGATATGATTTCTAACTATGTTCGCTTTTTTTCTTCCACAGATTTCAGCATCTGTCAACCTGGCTGAAGAAACCAAGATCCCAAAGATTATTGCAGAGAGTTCTTGGGATTTGGAAATGTGATGTTGTTCACCAATATTGTTTATTTGCTTGTTTGAATCATATACATTTGGGCAAACAGCTTAATATAAGCTCAAAACATACTTGCGGTGCTTTCACCAAACTTGTCATTTGATCAAATTGAATACGAGATCGCCATTCTTGCAAGGCCTTGGGATTTTCAAGACTTCAGTTTCCTCTTTTATGATGAGCTTATGCAGGTCATATCCTACAAATCCGAACGAGAGATATCACCATACCGGAACTTGACTTTTTATTTGGAGACTTTTTTATGTTTAAGGTTGAAGAAGAAAGCATGCAGGTAGTTGATTAGCATATTAAATGTTTAGCTTGCGTACAATACAAAAAACTCCCATTTCCAATTGTTTGAAGATTGTAAAACTGGTTTTGTTTATATATATTCAATGTGAAAGTGATGGAAAACGAAGCCGTGTGCCTGTTAACTCACCTAAATACTTATAATTCGATCTTATCTGATGTTATCATCCCTACTGCAAACACTGGGTTGCCATGGGTTTTTGCTGCCATTTCATTTTTCTGACATTAACAGTCGGTCAACAAGATTGCATCAGCCAAGTTTTGCAACTCACAAATGAGATTCATAACTCAACTAGGCTTATGTTTAAGAAGTAACATTGCTTTGAAGTTTGAATGTTAATATCTTTATCATTAGGTCGTAACTTTCTTCGCAAGGAAAAAGAAGCCAGTGCTTAACCTAGCAAGAAGGAACAGTAACCAAACGCCTCGTTTTTTAGTGGCCCGAAACCAACGAGCTGAACACATTTCAATTTTCAAGGAGGCCTAAAACTATATGTAATTAATATAGGGTCAAAGTCAAACTTAGTACAAAGGGGTTTTCTTGAAACCAACGTGTCGTGCTACAGTTTGGGTTTCATTTTTATTACAAGTGAGATAACCTGACTGAATCATTGTCTCTAGATATGTTTTTATCCGATGTGAAATTTCCCTTTTTTGTGCTTGGGGAAATACGAATTTCTTGCCCTAACTCGTATTAGAGCGTACAAACAACAACAATAATAATAATAAAATCTTATTTTCATATGTAATGGGATAAGGGGAGGTAGGGTAGTAGGTTGTCTCCTAACGTCAGATTAAGAGCAACTTTCGTGAAAGACTTCCAGCAATCAAAAAATTAAAAATAAAAATAAAATACAATATATATTTAAATAAATAAATAAATAAAATACGTAATTAGACAATCGCACGTCTATAATAAAAAGTAATCCCACAAATATACCACTGCGTAAAAATATATATGGTCACCATATCTCTAATCTCCCGACATTAGATTCATCGAATCTAACGTAGATTCCAGCAGAAATTCTCCGAACCCACATTCAATTAAGATCCCTAATTCAGACAGGGTTTGATTTGTGTAATGGCAAAACATTGAATCAACAAAGCCTTCAAGCTTCCCACCTTCAAAAATGACGACTCCCATCAAAGGCAGGTTTTTTCTCGTCTTTTTTCTTTTCATTTTCTCTTCTCCACCGCTTGCTATAGCTTTTGTAGACTCCAGTTCCGTCTCGATCCAAAACGAGCACGGGCACGATCAGATTCCTCTCCATGAAACTGAGCCTAAGAGTCCGCGTGATTTCATTCTCAACAGGTTTTGTTGCATAAACTCGAAGAACTAGTTAGAAACCTTAGTGAAATAGTTTCTAGATTAGAATCAAAATTGTCAGAACCTACAAAAGTTGATTACAGCTGTAGTGTTAAAACAAACGTTGAAGAAGCTGAAGTTAGAGATGGGGAAAGAGGGAGGGCTGTTTCTGTTACTAAGTACAGTCCCTTTTGGTCCGAGAGGTTTCAGTTCATGTCAGCTGTGAAATTAGATTCTGATGCTACTTGTATAAACGTTTTGCCGTTTCGTGATTACGAGGGACTTAGCAAGTATGTTGCTGTTGGAGATGAAAAAGGAAGGGTTTTTGTCTTTTTAAGGAATGGAGATGTTGCCGCCGAGTTTCACACCAAGTCCGAGTCTTCAATTATGGCAATGGTTTCATACATGTCTGTTTTTAAGAATGAGAGTGTTGTCGTTACAGGACATCATAACGGCTTGATATTGGTGCATAAGATTTATGAAGGATTAAATGGAGAAGAATTGGGTTCGCCTAGAATGGGGACTGTTAGTAAATTTGTTGCTGCAGAAGGCGGGGATGAAGGGTTGCCGATAACTATGTTGGAAGTTCATCATGTTGGGAGAATGAGGTATATTTTGTCTACAGATCTTAGTGGAAAAATCAGGGTTTTTAGAGAAGATGGGACACTTCATGGTTCGGCCATGTCAACAAGTAGGCCGCTTGTGTTCTTGAAGCAAAGGCTTTTATTCTTGACAGAAACCGGTGCTGGTTCATTGGATTTGCGGAGCATGAAAATTAAGGAATCAGATTGCGAAGGGTTGAATCATTCTCTTGTTCGGAATTATGTCTTCGATGCAGCAGAGCGATCTAAAGCTTATGGTTTTACGTCAGATGGTGATTTGATTCATGTTTTGCTGTTGGGCGATAGTATGAACTTCAAGTGCAGGGTTAGGTCCAAGAAAAAGTTGGAAATGAATGAGCCTCTCGCTTTTCTGGCTATTAAAGGATATTTACTTATCGTTGATGTAGAGAAGGTTTTTGTGTATAACGTTTCTACACCGCACTATGTTAGGGCTGGTGCACCACGGTTTCTTTTCTCTGCCGGCTTGGATGAGATCAGGTCGTTGTTTTTAACTCACCAAGCAATGGATACAAATAAAGAGAGAAGAAACACGATGTCCTTAATAGCGAGTGATCATGAAAAGCTCATTGTTCTTGGCCTTGGAGGTGATTATGTAGGAATGTATCGCTCTAACCTTCCGGTTACGAAAGCTGAATCTAATACGATGCTGTGGACCAACCCCGTGCTATTTTTCATACTTTTCCTATTTGGGGCGTGGCAGTTCTTTGCAAAGAAAAAAGAAGCACTCACATTATGGGGACCAGATAACCATTTTAGCTCTACATCAGCTACAGACGGAGCTTCACTAGGATCCAACACTGGAGACAGGTCCTTTACAGATTCTTCTTCAGGAGGCTCCGATATGGGGAACTTGAGAAGCAGCGGTCTTCGAAGTCGAAGGTATGCATCTCCTTCTCGATATCAAGGTGGAGCAGCTGGTTCTTTCAGGCCGAGTTCCGCAGATCCAGGCGCTAGACCTGCTTCCATCGAACCCAATTATAGAGCGGATCCAAGCTCTAGACCTGCGTCCATCGAACCCAATTATAGAGCGGATCCTACATCTCGACCTGCGTCCATTGAACCCAATTATAGAGCGGATCCAAGCTCTAGAACTGCATCCATTGAACCCAATTATAGAGCGGATCCAAGCTCTAGACCTGCGTCCATTGAACCTAATTATAGAGTGGATCCAAGTTCTAGACCTGCATCTATCAAACCCAATTATAGAGCTGCGCCAGAGCTGAAGTATAGGGGATCAATCCTGGAACCTACCGGCTTTCGAAAACGTAGAGAAAGTTTGTTTATGAACAGCCAAGTTGTGGATGACAACAATTAACAGTTAAAAACAGTTTCCATTAACTTCTATAACAAGGGGGTGCTTTTAAATAGTTCATTGGCCTTTCATAAGATATTATGAAGCCATTTGAGCATGCAATGTTGTATTTTTAATTTACATAAACAAAGAATAAATGCAGAAGCTTTTAGCATTAACCCTTGTTTCAAATATGGTTTGAAAAATACCTATTCTTGGTGGTGCTCCAACTCTTTACTTTCTTCAAATATGTGCCTGATGTTTGAAGCCTGTCCAGATATGGATTTGGAAGTAGGACTCCTCAAAAACTTAAAAAGAATATTAATACTCGAATTCAATTAAATAGGAGTCTTCTGAACCATTGAAGAAACTTATTTCATGTTTTTTGATCCTGCATCTACTACTGAAATGCCTAACGAGTAAGTCAAAATTTGCTTCCAGGAAGAGAGAACATAGAATAGAAAGGGTCTTTGAGAATTTGTCAAATTTCGTGCATGATGTTTTAATCTTAACATTATTAAGTTTTAAACAAGCATATTTAATAGTATATAATTTAAAGAAAACAAATATTTTTTTTCACTTTCAAATAAAAATAATTGGAACTTATGGTAATATTTTTACGTATAATATCATAATTTATTTTTTAATAATTTTGAAATGATGGTATAAATCAATTACATTCAACTCAAATTCCTATATACACATATTTAATTAACCTAATCAGTGCACTTAAATTTACGACTAATCAATGTTTTTGAAAAAAATTAAAGTAAAATTTAAATAGTATACACGTTGAAAGACTGCTATAATTATAAAATAAATATAGAAACATCAATTTTCGTGATTGATAAATAGATTAAAAATAAAAAAATGTTATATATTGAGAGCCGCAACATAGCTTTATGTTTTTCAAGTTTGCAAGTGCAACTAGAAGGAACAAACGCGCCGGCTACGACTCCTTTGTTTCGCCAACTGAACAATCTCGGGAGTCCCTATATTTGTTTCAATCTTTCCCTTTTCCCTTTTATGTTTCTGATTTTCAAATTCCCTCTGTTATTTTCAAAGGTTTTTTTGGAATCGTTTTATTTCTATTTTCAAACTGCTTCCGTAATCTGAACGAAGCTCGAGTGTAGGGGTTTTAGTTTTCTAATATTTGTTATTGATGGCTGATACGAGACGAAGTGACCACGTTTTCCCGTCGGAAGTGGGGATTCCTTCGGATTGAATCGGATCAAGACCCCGCGAGTTATTTTGAAGGAACAACCGAGTTCAAAACCAGGCCGGTTGAACGAGTCGAGGACTTCGAAGCCTTTTTTAAAGCTCAAACAGAAGTCAGTCGCTCATGCACAAAGCAAAACATCAGGTTTCTATAGTGAAGTTTTGAATTCCTTTTATTTATTTATTTTTATTATTGTTTTCTCAATTTAAGCTTACAGGTCTGTGCTAACTGCTAAGGCTCTGTTCGTTTCCTGAAAGAGGGAAAAGACATGGATGAAAAGAAAAACTAAGTGATAGTGGTATATATGAAACGTGTTAAAATCATTCTAGAGCTTAAGGATGATTAAGCATAAAATAACGAATATGAGTGTCATTTTGTTATCTTTTGTATCAATATGTATTGCCTCTTCATAGAAGTGTGTATTCAACTTGCTATTGCTAAAAAAAATCATAAAAAAGAAGATTTTCAACCATAGAAAATGAGTTCCTGCATGAAACCATTGAAAACAAGTTAAAGAGACTATAGTATTGTTGTTTGCTAGGGCTGTGTCATTTAAATGATGCCACATCAAAATAGTTATCCATGGATTTCATCAATTTTGCCCCGTTTCTTATGCACAGAAACTTTTTCGTCTATTAAAGCACTAATCTGATCAGGATTCTTGCAACTTCAATAATGCACCGTGCCATTAGCTCTTAGGCTTAATTTTCTTGTGAGTTAAAGACTTTTTCTAATCGAATTTTTTATGGAGAATACTTCTGCTAAAGTTATCTTAGGCTATGATCTATGTGAATGTACCCAAGCTTTCCCCCCCCCCTCGTTTTACCTAACATTATTGCTTCTATTTTAACAAGTTCATTATCTTTTCTTATCTTATTCTTGTATTGAGTCCCTGGTTTACCTTTCCTTATTTTCTAATGAAGAATTGATTGTTGGAAAGGAAAATTAATATTTATTTGTTGCTCTTTTTGGTTTTGTATCTCTTTCAGAACAGAAAGGGAAGAAGATAGCACAGTGGTTTTCATCTTATATTTCAAGGAATTCCACTCAAGGCTTCAGTAGTAATACACATATTGAGGTGACATTAAATTATACTTATTTTTTCTAACATTGTTTACGTAGTAGTTCCATTATATATTTGTGTTGCAATGAAACCATGATTGACAGGATGGTACGTCAGAAGTTAAGTCACGTGACAAAGAAGAACCTGTGAGAACTAAACCTGGAATAGAAAATAAGTTCAATGGAAAGCAATCTTCAGCAGAGAGTGCGGGCTACAGCATAATGTCAAAAGGTCTAAAGAGTTTTTCACATGAATTAGGACCTAAGGGTGGTATCCCATCTTCCCATCCTCGAGCTCACAGTTACAACGATTTAAAGGTACGTTGTTGATATTTTTAAAGAAATAACCTGGTTAATAACATGATTTTCTAATCCTCCATGAGATAAAATAAAATCTAAAGGAATTTGCAATTTATTTTCAAAATTATTAACATTCTTGACATTACATGAAGCATTCATGGTATTATTAACTACAATGTAGTTTTCTCTTTTCTTGAGAGGCTTCACCTATATTGCATGTTGAAGGAACAGCTTGATTCTAATATATGTTTCTTAAACTCATTAATCAGATTTTGGATAGTTTACCAGTTTGCTGCAGAAAAAATTCTATCACTTTATGTGGATTATTATTATTGCAATTCTGCATGAAAAATTAGTAGTACCATTAAACCTTAATGGAGAAGCTGGTGCTTATGTTTCTGATTCTTTGCCACAATTTCAGTTCTATTGAACTCTTTCATTTCTGATTAGTTAGCAAATTGTTTCTTTCCTTTCTCTTTTTTATTAATTGATCATCAGGAACTATTTGGTTCATTACATTCAAGATTTGATGCTGCTAAAGAGGTGGTAGACACAGAGCTGGCTACTTTTTCTGCAGATGTGATGGATGTTCTTCAGACCATAGACTCCTCATCTCTGGAGGGTCGCAAAACGGCAGAGGATCTTCTCTATCTTGCTCAACAATGTGTTCAAATGACCTCTTCCGAATTTCGTGTGAAATGTGAAACAATAGTTCAAGATTTGACAGAAAAAAGACAACAATGTCAAACAGTATTGGTGAAGTGGCTGTGCACACGTATGCTCTTCATTTTGACACGCTGTACAAGGGTTTTGCAGTTCCAGAAAGAGAAAGAACCGATTGATGAGAATTCTATTATCAAATTTAAGAAATGTTTAGAAAGCATTCCTGCTGTTGAAATGAGTTGGGCTCTCACTTCTGATATTGCTGATTCTTACTCAGCTAATGCTATGTATCAGGGGGTTGATGGTGAAAAAAAATTGCAGGGACAAAGTGAGGTGTCTCTTTTCCCCAAGCCAGCTGTACAGAAGGATATAACTTCAGGAAAAGATTCCTCTATTCCTAAGAAAATTTCAGCTACACAGGGATCTCAACCTGATTTTACTTCACACGAGCGACCATTTTGTCAAGCTGATGGCTATTTTGTAGGAGATTCAGTGAAAATTTTCTGTTGTAGTTCATTTCATGAGCACAACCATAGTTTTGATGGTTCACTTATGGAGCCTGAACAGGCACTAGATGGATTTGACTCAGCGATCTGTAGGATATGTGAGGAAGCTGTTCCTATTTCTCATTTAGAGTCTCATTCTTATATATGTGCATATGCAGATAAATGTGCACTGAATTGCATAGATGTAGATGAACGCCTTGTAAAGCTTGCAGAAATATTGGAACAGATTATAGAGTCACGGAATTTGAATTCCATTGGGAGCCCTGAGAATTCAAGGATGCAAAATTTGAGCTCTGCAGTGACATCTGAAGGTTATTCTCCCAAGATAAGTGAGTGGCGAAACAAGGGCGTTGAAGGAATGTTTGAGGACATACATGAGATGGACACTGCCAGTATTGAGGATTCTCATTTGGTCTCTATTGACTTTAAGGGTCATCTGGGCATGAGGCTTGGAAACTATGGAGCATCTTCCTCAACTGGGAGCATGACATCACTATCATCTAACAATACTCCAAGAGGAAGTCACTTCGATTCTTTCTGGTTGGAACGTAACAATCCGTCTGAGCTAGAAGATGTACAACAGGTCTGTTGATCTAGAGTATTTCGGATTTTTTACTTTGACACTGTCATCCCTTTCTACTTGGTGCAAAAAATATCCATAACGATTTGCCAAAATGATTAATGAAATCCTCATGAATCTTATAGAGCTAATATGTTTCTTGAGCTGTTCTGTCAATTAGAAACTCTCCACTTATATGTTCATCCAATTGGTGACCCAATTAAATGGATAAATATAATCTGCTCATATATTTGGACAATCTATATATGCATATGCATTAGTTGATGCATTTGTCTAAATATATACTTTCTTTCAATCATTTTTCTGATATTGTGCTTGCCATGACCTTCTATCTTGCATCTAATGTTGTATTGTCAAAGTGTGATGCTATGTATAGGTTGATCAGTCCTTTTTTTATATCTGGCAGATGGTTGACCTTTCAGATATAGCCCGTTGTGTAGCAGGCACAGACTTGTCCAAAGAAGGGTCTCATGAGTTCTTGCTTGCTTGCATGCAAGATTTGCAAGATATTTTACGGCATAGTAAGCTTAAAGCTCTTGTAATAGATACTTTTGGAGGCCAGATAGAGACCCTTCTGAGGTAGTACAGTGTTAAAGAATTATATTTGTGAGACCGAACACATATCTCAACTTATGAATCATTCATCTTGTTACTTAACTACTCATGCAGAGAAAAATATATACTTGCATGTGAAGCAGCAGATATAAAAAGTCCAACGAAGTGCTGTGAACAAAGAGAAAAAATTCTAGACTTCTCTCAGAGAATGCATCTCAAAGTAGTACAGTGTCAACTCCTTTAAATATGTCTCACAAAGAGAGAACGAAAATAGATGATTTTGAGATCATCAAACCCATTAGCAGAGGTGCCTTTGGCAAAGTCTTTCTTGCACGCAAAAGGACAACGGGCGACCTATTTGCAATAAAGGTAAAAAAACTAAAAGTTCCTTGATGTTTTTTCTTCCAACCGAAAACAAAGTCAACATTCAGTGCTTTCCTCTTTTGTTCAAGAATCTATAATGTCTATTATAATATGCATTTATATGAAAAGGAAAATGTTGAAGAATCTTGTTTCAGTTTCTAAAAACTGAAGTTGACAAATCAAGTGATTGCTTAATTGACTTCTAAGAATAAATTTGGAGCTTTGTGCAGCCAACACATCTCTTGAGTTAGTTTTTGGAAGTTGCACTCAACATTTTGCTTTCATCGCCAGTACATGTCTTTTAATTTCCTTGTAAAGCGTTAGATAGATGAGCTGTAATCTTGAGTTTTTTTCTTGGAAAAAGAAATGTCTGTTTTTCGTTTTTAACTCAATGCAATTTTGCTTCTTTTGCAGGTTCTCAAGAAATTGGATATGATACGTAAAAATGATATTGAGCGTATATTAGCTGAACGAAATATATACTAATAGCAGTTCGAAACCCTTTTGTGGTAATTGCCTATTCAAGCATGCTTTGAGCTCTTACATTGTTTACTCGATTTAAATAAAATGCATTTACCTCATTTTTAAGTCTATCTTGTTGCTCACAATTTCTTTTTCGTCTTGAACCTATTTATCCTTGTTATCACTTGACAAAGATTATAGTTAATGTTGTAACTACTTATAATTTCTTATTGTCCAAGTCTCTAAGAAAGTTGCTAGTTGAATAAAAGAAGTGAGCTTATAATTTCAGGTTCGATTTTTTTATTCATTCACCTGTAGAGATAACCTCTATTTGGTTATGGAGTATCTCAATGGTGGTGATCTATACTCTTTACTCAGAAAAGTTGGATGCCTTGACGAAGAAGTAGCTCGTACATATATTGCAGAGCTGGTTTGTACTAACTCATTCTGTATTATGGAAACCGATCTAATTATTGTATGAGCTTTTCTAAAGGTACATCCATATTTCAGGTTCTTGCTTTAGAGTATCTCCATTCCCTTGGAATTGTGCATCGTGACTTGAAACCAGACAACATATTGATTGCACACAATGGTCACATTAAGGTCTGGTGAATTGTTCTTCAATTTTCTTCTTTTAATGTATTAAGTGCATTATGCTGCGGGTTTAGAAGCATTAAATTCTAGTTTGACTTGCTCATTCTGCATCTATTCAATAACCTCATGTTATTGTACCGATAATGAGCTAATAATTGTTATGTTACCAGCTTACAGACTTTGGACTATCAAAAATTGGTCTCATAAACAACACAATTGATTTATCTGGTCCTGAAACAAATGGAACCACTTCATTAGATGCTTGTAATCTACATAAGCAACAATTGGAGGATAGAAGTCGACACTCAGCTGTTGGGACACCTGACTACCTGGCTCCTGAAATTCTTCTTGGCACTGAACATGGTTTGGATTCAAGCTGATGTAAGTTTTTCTCTAAGTCGTTAATAGAATTGACTATTGATGTTATTACAATGAAATTCATGCAGGTTATGCTGCAGACTGGTGGTCAGTAGGGATAATCTTGTTTGAGTTGATTACAGGAATTCCACCTTTCACTGCTGAACGCCCTGAGGTAATATCTTCTTCAACTATTCTCTTCTCACTTGTATCCTCATCTGAAGCAGTAGATAACTCTGATCAATCTGTTCAATTGTTATGTCCGTTTTGGCGACATGTTTTACTGCCAAGCCAAAAAAAAAATCTGATATTTAGATTAGTCTTGAAAAAGGAACACATACAAGAACCTTTATTTTTCAGTGAAGCGTTGGTTGAGGTTTTATTTTATAACTGCAAATAGCTGTGTCTGTTATCCTTAGTTCTTATCGAACTGGATGGTAACTCAGTTTATCAAAATAATCTCTTCAAAACATGTTTATAAGTGATGAAACTTTTCCATTAAACTTTAGTTGTTTGTATATTATTCATCTTGCAATTATTAATTGCCATAATATATGATCCCCGACTACCATGCATCTTTTAAGCATTTTTGTGTTCCTTGAATTTGTTCTTTAAAAAGTGATAATGGATTCCCTTTTCATCTCTCGAACTCACTCCTTATCAGATTCCTTATTATCTAACTCTGCCCAAAAGATGCCAGAGACTAGGAACAGCTTTGTCTCATGCTTTTCCCGTTTTTGTCATGGCTTTGCAGATAATTTTTGACAACATTCTGAACAGAAAAATTCCATGGCCATCTGTTCCTAGTGAGATGTCCTATGAGGCTCAAGATCTAATTAAAAGGTTTTTTGGTTTTGAGTCTTGAGATATGATTTTGCTTGTACTTTATCGACTTATTCATGTTAAGGGAAAAGTTAATTCAAAACAACTTATTCATTATTAATTCATTTTCTTGCAGGTTTCTTATACAAGACCCCAATCAGCGGTTAGGAGCAAATGGAGCAACTGAGGTTGTACTTCACTTTCTAACTTCTTTATTTCATGGAAAAGCAAAATGTACCTTCTGTTCACTGCTAAAACTTGAAAAAGAGTATTATGTTACATTAATATCATTCTTTTTAACTAAGTGGGACTATCTTATAGGTTAAATTGCATGCATTTTTCGATGGAGTTAACTGGGATAATCTTGCATTGCAAAAGGTATGCATCCACATAAGCCATCCTTCTCCTGCCTCAAGCAGAATGTCTGACGGTTATGTTTTCTGCTAATCCAATATTTTCTATTTGAAGATGACTTTCTAGTACTCATTAGTATAAGTTAGGGTTTTTATCGTTATTCTTTGGGATTTATAACCATTGCCCATTGATATCTTTGTATATGCTTAAGCACGTCTAGTATTGATATAGTGATTTCTTCTATTTTCTGCTTAAGTTGTAAAAGTTCTAGCCTTTTATAAATGTTTTCTTACTTTTTTCTGTTTTATGCATGTATATAAGAGCAACAGTATTCAAGTCTTTTGTAGAAGAAAAGGGGGCGTGATTAGGAGAACGGTAGAAAATGTTGATTTGTCTTTGATGGAAATCCAATATTAACATGTTAGCATTATCTTTTTGCAGGCTGCCTTTGTACCACACCCTGACAGTGCAGATGACACAAGCTATTTTACATCACGTTTTAGTCGAATTTCGAGTGGAATCCCAGATGAGAATGAATGTAATACTGATAATGGGACTTGTGACTCGGGATCAGATTCTGGACCCGAGGTAATTAACTAACTCATATACCGCAGTATCTGTCAGTCAATCCCACTGAAAGGTAATATTTTTGACATAACCCTAGAGGGATGGACATGGGAATGCATGCTCAGATTTGGTTTTCATCTAGAATTATTGTTTATCATTATTATTATTATTAATCTGGGGTAAGTACAAAGCGGTATTTGTTCAAAGATAACTCTTAATCATTTGACATTGAATGCTCACACCCTTGGCATTTATGGTGCTTGAACCTGGGACTTCAAGGAATAACAACAATTACTTTACCACCGAGGTCGCTTGGTTCGTGCTAGAATTATTGTTTTAAATGATGTCATTAAGGGACCTTTTACGTATAGAATTTGATCTTAATAAAGCTCAATGTTTGGAATTTGACCTTTGTAGTCGAACCCAGTTAGTGGTTAGGGCTCTGTGGTTTTATAATGCTTGGTTTTGCATCTTAATGTTTTTTTTACAGAAGTATCTTAACGTTAACAGTATAGTAATATGGTTTCATTTTTTGTACACCATACACTGGCAGTGTGTGTGTGTGTGTGTGTATTTGGATGGAATTCGCTCTCTTATTATGCGGCAATACTCACCCGTTTTCAATTTGCACTGTTCATCTTATTATGGAGCAATTCTGTCATGATCATCTCTTGTTTCCTCTGATTCAGATGGATGAATTTGGTGACTTGGCGGAGTTTGATCCCTCTCCTCTTAATCTCTCGTTAATAAATTTCTCTTTTAAGGTACGACTCTTGATCTTCTTGAAACATACAGAGGTATACGCATTTGTATATTTGTAGTTTTCAAATTTAATATTTTTATTGCAGAACTTGTCACAACTTGCATCAATAAATCACGATGTACTCGTACAATCTGGGAAGGATTCAGCCAAGTGCTCCCCATCCAGAAGTTTAGGGCCATAATCTCAATTCATGGTTGATTCAGGTACCAAAGGTATCTTTCATAAATCCATGTCTTTAAAGGTTTTTTCTTCTTCTTTAATCAAAATGATGAATGAAAGAAAGAAGGTTCAAAAGATTGTAATTAAGTAGGAGTTCCATAGGAAGCTTTTAGAGTAGGTAAAATTAAACGAGGACAAAATTTACATAAAGATGAAGAGAATCACCTTACCATCATTTCTACGAGCAGTGGTTTCAATTTGTTGATAAATCTGGCGATTCCATTAGCACGTTCCATATGCCTATAATTAGCGTGATTCATAGGCATTACCTGTTGATTCCGTTGTTGTAGCTCTTCATTCCATTGTTAAAAGGGTTGGGAATAGAGCAAAGAATCCAGTAGCTTTTTGCGTGGCTCTGGTCACAACACAATCCTGTTAATCCACTTGTACACAGATCAACTGCCATTGTATCCACCGTTTTACCAGCCATCCCAATCCTTAGCTACACGGACAATTCAGCATTCGTATTGATGCCTGGGATCTGGGGTTTATTGTTGAGAAAGCCGTGACCACCGTCGACCAATGACCGATCTGGGGTTGATTGTTGAGAAGCTGCGCCCACCATCGACTAATGACAGTGCTGTCTTACAAGAGGTGACGGATAGTTTCCTGGTTCGCTCAAGCCAAGAGGGCTGCAGTCACTTACCATGATACCGCCTGTGGAGGCTTTCCATATAGATTATTTTCACCATGAGTATCCATAGTGCGATCTGCGCTGAAACCAAAGTAAATGATAATTATGAATATTGTATTTTTAAATGATAATTAAATTTAGATACAAACGAATACATAATAATAATGGAAGATAGTCAACTCATTAAATAATACTTGCAAGTGGTTGGAAACGTTACCTATCGCAATGGTTCCAAATAATTAATTTGTCTTGCCCAAGTGATGGATCTCATAGATTGTGGGTATAAGGTCACTTCAAAATTAAAGTGAAAAGCTTTCCCCACTAGGGATTCATTTCTTATTCCAAATGAAAAAAAGTTCCCAAACATTTGTCAATGCCAATCGTGAGAGAGCAATATGGAAAAAAAAGATGAGATTCGCAAATATTTGTTGCACCTAATTGAAATGATAACCTTTGGAGTTCAGTAAAAGCCAATCATTCCTCACACGACAGAGACGCGTCATTTTCACACCCGTCGTTAGGTACTCCTCAACTTAAACCAATAAATTATAACATCCAAATTAAAAGATTAATTTATATATATATATATATATTACTCCGTAAAAGTACTGTAGAGGTCCTTGAACAACAAAGCAGGGCTTGTTTGGGTTTGGGCATGAGGGGTAGCTGTTCAGGTCTAGAACTTTTTTAATATATTATATTTGTAAAAAATAATTTTATATCAGTTAAAAGGTGCAATTATCTTTAATATTTGTTATTAAAGATTTAATTTTTCTCTAATATTTATTATTGCGAGTTTAATTTTTTTCAGTATTTATTATTAGGATTTACTCTTATAATTAATTTTTTCTAATATTTGTATAAGTGTTTAATTTTTTGTCAATATTTTTTCTAACGTTTGTTATTGTGGGCCTAATGTTTTCAATACTTGTTATTAGGGGCTTAATTTTTTTCAATGTTTGTTATTAGGGGCATATTTTTAAAATACATTTTCTTTTCTAATATTTATTTGTTATTATGAGTCTAATTTTTCCAGTACTTTTTATAAGAGGTCTAGTTTTTTAAATATTCGTTATTATGAGCATACTCTTAAAATTTATTTTTTTAATATTTGTTATTAGGGATCTATTTTTTCAATACTTGTTATTATGGAACTATCCTTAAAATTTATTTTTTTAATATTTGTTATTAAGAACAATTACTTAAAAACGGTCTATAACCACAACAACGACCGTTATATAGAGGTGACGACATTGTCCGAAATCGTGATATCTACAACTGTTATTTCCACAATAGCATATGTTATTGAAAATTCACAACCACGATACTTGCAGTGACAACAATATTATCAATTATGTTCATAAGAACAATAAACACAACGCAGTTGAAAATACAAATATAAACTGTAATTTTAATCTTTAACTAGAAGTTTTATATTTTAATTTGTCCGAAATACACCAAAATCTCATAACAGACTTGTTACACAGATAAGTACATTTTGGATGAATAAAATTACTTGCAAAGTTGGGATAATAGTGTTGTAGAGTGACTGGCAAGGCCATATCTAGCCATTAGTACATAAATACATTTGGTCCTAAACCTTTTGCTGCTATACATTTTGTAGGGTGGTGGCAACTGGTCAGCACGGAAAAATATATTGACTCAGCCACTAACCCCAAGCTAATAATATCCTGAAATCCGACCCACACCTTATATATATAAGTAGGGATAGATCGAGAGATATTGGAAAGTAATTGTATCTTTTAGAAATTTCAAATTTTTATATAAATTTAGCTCTTGTTATTGAATGTACGTATATATGCAAAAACTTTTCCTAAAGTTGATGGAAAAAAAGGAGGTGAATGTGCTTGTCTGTCTGGATATTCAAGGTGGACCTTTTCTTACTTATTGCCATTGGAAACAGAAAGAAGCAAAAAGTTAATCAATTTGGTGATGATTAGTACTCCAGGGCCTGTGCTTCAATTTCAATACCTTTCTTTTCTCCTTTTTGACAATTGCTCATCACCTTACATTTTGTATACATATTGAGAAAAGAATAATGAAAATGAAAACTTAATAGTTGAAGATGAACATAATCATGAAAAACTCCAAAAGCTTGGGTTTTCTTGGACCTGAAACCTGTTAAAACTAGATTGCTTCATAATTTAACTTGTCGGATACCATGTTTGTTTTAGAACCAAAAGCTTTTTCGTTTACCTATCTACTCCCAACTTAATTCCAGAATATTCCCCTTATATGCAATATTTACCTACACCCTGCAATGGCAGACAAAGGAGGGAGGAACACAAAAAATGTATTGTGCTAAAAGATATGACATGTTTAGGAAAGTTTAATCTTTAATTAAAACATATTTATAGCTTGAGTTTGTTTAAGGTAAAAAAGAAGTAATTAAGTAGTGAAGATATGTTGGTTTAATTGAATATTTGTTTATACGATGATCGAGGATGTTGGATGTCAAACATAATTTTTGATTCAATAATGTTGACAAGATTAAGGTGACAAAGACTAGATGTTTCTTGATTAATGAAGCAAGATCTCACTTAAGAAGTAAGGATGCAAAGTAAACATGTGGCAAAAAGAGAAGCAACTTTGAAAGCTAGGCGAGCAGCAAAACATTTGGAAATTGGAAGCTAATCAACGTGTGGAGGCAGTAGCAAATTCCTTTACGGTAAGCAAAGGGTCTGGCGGCAATTGATGAAGTAAATTAGTCGGTTTAGGTATGCTATAAATATAGCTTATGAGATTAGCAATGTAATGATATACGAGTGAAAAAAATTTTGATAGGTTGTGAAGCTTAGCAAAACTTTTTATAGGAGTTGTGTTTGTAAATTAGCCATAGTTAGTGTTTGTATCGTATTTTGATTCGTATTAATATTATCATGTGAGTTATAAATTATTGAATCCCTACTACGCTTTCAACAAGTGGTATCTAGAGCTTGGTTTGAGTTTAACGTGGTAGAAACTATGATCAATATGATTTAACCACAAATCCCAAGATTGACAAAGGCGAACTATGACAATTAGAGCATTCAAATGAAGGTGTTACTTGGTTTCCAAGATTGTTGGGATATTGTCGAAGAAGATTACGTTGAGCCCGAAAATGAACAACAAAAATAGTCCTGTTAAATGAAGAGAAAAGAATAGTGAAGGAATCCCAAAAAAAGATAAAAGAGCATTGTTCTTTATTTTTCAATGAGTAAATGAATCTATCTTTAAACAAATTTCTGATGAAAAGACCGCAAAAAAGGTGGGAGATTTTGCAAAAATATCATCAAGGTACAGAAAAGATGAAAAAGGTACGATTACAATCTCTTAGAGTTATGTTTGAAATATTAAAAATGAAAAATACAGAAAATATCAATGATTATGTCAATCGCGTGAAAATGGTACTAAATGAAATGAAAATGAATTGTGAATCACTCGATGAGTCAGAATGATGGAAAAGATTATGCGATCTTTGACATGCAAATTCGATTACGCGGTCGTGGCAATCAAAGAATCGAAAGATTTATCCCAAATATTGATCGATGAGCTTGTAGGTTCACTTCAAGCCCATGAGCAGAAGATGGAACAAAATGAAGATTCTGAAAATTTGGAGCAAGCTTTGCAAAGCAAGATGAATGTCAATGAAGGTGAAGCCAGTAGAAGCTACACACGAGGTCGAGGAAATCATGGTGATTATCATGGAAGATACAGAAGAGGACGAGGAGCACGAGGACGTAATGGTCGATCATATGACACCACTCAAACAAGTGAAAATTATAAAACATCAGGTCGTGGACGAGGATTTATCTAAGTTCGAGGCTGAGGTAGATATCAACAAAGAAATAAATCACAAGTATAATGTTATAATTACAAAAAATATGGTCACTATAGTTATGAGTGTAGATCAGCTCCTAAACAAGAAGAAATAAATAACATAGCAGTTGAAGAAGAAAAAATTAAAAAAATCTCATGTGTTCCTTACTTATAAAGGAAATGAAGAATTCAAGAAAAATATTTGATATATTGATAATTATTCCAGCAACTATATGTGTGGCCGAAAGGAGTTGTTCGTGAAATTAGACGAAATAATCCATAGACGAGTAACCTTTAGTGACGACTCACACGCAGAAGTCAAAGGCAAAGGAGAAGTCATGATTACTCAGAAAATGGTGAAAAGACATACATCTCAGATGTGTATTATGTATCGGCTTTGAAAAGCAATATCATTAACCTTGGACAGCTTCTTGAAAAAATATACGAAGTGGAGATGAAGAAACGTTCTCTTGCTATCAAAAATAAAGAAGGATAATTAATTGTCAAAGTCGATATGACTCAAAATGATCTCTTTACAATTGATATTGAGTGAGGAGAAATAAGGTGCATGAAGACTGCGATAAAAATGATTCATGGTTATGACATCTACGTTATGGACATCTTGGATTTTTCAGGTCTGAAGCTCTTATCGAAGGTGAATATGGTGAAAAGACTACCAAAGATTAACCCTCTAAATCAATTATGTGAGGCTTGCATTAAAGGAAAGCAACACTGACAAAGCTTTGTAGATCCTAGCGTGCCAGAA